TGTTCCCGGGCGACTCTGAAATCGACGAGATCTTTAAGATCTTCAAGTACGTGTCACTTGTGCTCCCTAGCCGTCATCCTTGCTAACCTTGGCCCTAGGCTCCTCGGCACTCCTGACGAGAACACCTGGCCCGGCGTGACCTCGTTCCCTGACTTCAAGACCTCCTTTCCCAAGTGGCGCAAGGAACCCATGTCCAAGCTGGTGCCCAACCTCGAACCAGCCGGCCTGGAACTGATCGAAGCAATGCTCGAGTACGACCCTGCCCACAGAATATCAGCCAAGGCGGCATGCAATCATCCCTACTTTGCAGCTGGCTCGGCGGCATACTCGCAGCGAGGCCCACCAAGAACAAATGGTTATCACTGAGTTGAACAAGAATGTGGTCTGATGTAGAAGGACATTGTGTTCGGGGCAACTTTGGTGCGGCACTGCTTTCTTGATACCCTCCATCCGGATGGCAACCCATCTACGTAGGTGTGATCCCTTGTACTACGGCGAGTGGGCAGCGACATATGGGATGGGTGGGTGGGTTAATGGGGAGGTGTTTCTGTCATGGGTGCACGGCACCGGCCGTGGCTGTAATGACCTTTATGCATTTTTCCTTTTTTTGGGCTAGAAACGGAACAAGCACGGATACGGTGTCAATGCAACGGAATGGGAAAACACCCCGTATTATGTATGGATCGAGTGGCAAAGAGCCAACTGACCACGTACTGGGTACGCGTAGGGCTGGTGCGATAACTACGATGCTTTGTCAAGCTGTTTAGCCTTCAACCCGAGCGAGCACGATTCCCTACTGTAATCAGTGCCTGAATTACAGAGTGAATTGATGGTTTTGATATTTGCATGCTTCAAATCGGGCCACGCTCTCGAACTGTGGCCTGTCTGTCTGTGTCATGACATCGTAGTGTGTGTGTACTGTGCACTGTCACACTGTCCAGGTCGACTCCACCATGCACTACCGTATGAGTCGCCGGCCCGCCTGTCGATCAAGATATATATACAGACTTTCGCCCCGTCTAGGCCTCGCTCTTCTGCACGTACATCTCCTGGGCACCCGGGCCAGCGTGACTGCCGCCGCGGCTGGCGACGCTCTTGCGCTTGCCCGTGTACGAACTGGCCTGCAACATGTTGAGCTTGTCCTCCTCGCTGTCCAGCTTTTTGAAGTTCAACCAAAAGGCCACGCCGCCGACGCCGGCCAAGACGGCGACCACGCCGTAGTTCCACACCAGGAGAGGGTCGGCGCTCAGGGCGACGAGCCCCTGGGCGATGGCGGACGAAAAGGCGTTCATGAGCAGGTTGATCGACATGACGAACGAGCGCATGTTGTAGGGCGCCTTGGTGAAGGCGTATTCCAGCGACGTGATGCTGGCCATGATCTCGGAGAAGCCGATCAGCACGTACGGCACCGTCTGGACCCACACGTTGATGGGCGCCGGGCCGGAGCAGTCCGGGTCCGAGGCGTTGTGGCCGCACGGGCTCATCCGGTAGATGTACACCTGGATGACGCACGCGGAGACCATCGCCAGAGAGGCGAGCGCGAATCCAAAGGCAATGCGCTTGATCGGGGTGAAGTTGATGCGCGCCCTGCGCAGAGCCGGGTAGATGACAAAGTCCATGAGGGGGATGAAGATGATGATGCTGATGGGGTTGAGGTTCTGGATGATGTCGTTGGGCACGCCGTTGAGTTCCATGACGCTGAAAGATTGGTCAGTTTAGTTCGCTTTCGCTTCGTCGCAAGGGAGTAGGAGAGAGATGCGCGGGAGGATGGAACTTACGCAGCTTGTGAGGTGAGATTGCCGGTCATTTGGCCGTACGCGAGCCAGTACAGAGGGAGATAGAGGAAGACAGCACAGGCTTTCAAGCCGCGACGGACCTCTTCCACCCAGGCGTCGTCAAAAGTCATCCACGCGGGTCGCTCGGCAGCCGGGATGCGAGAGGGCTTGACACGCTCCCAGAAGTCTGGCGCCGAGAAGTTCTTGTACGTCCTGACGGGGTTGACGCTCCATCGTCCTTTGGTGGCGTAGGCCCAGAGCTTCCAGAACTTGGCGAACACCGAGCCTGTGGGAGGGGTCAAGATGTAGCGTTTGCGGCAGAGGGCCAGCACGACCGGCGCAAAGAGGAATAGGACAGTCGGCAGCATGTAGGCGAGCCAGAAGCCGACATATTTCTCGGCGTAGACCTGGAATATGGCTGTTAGCGGGTTCCCCAGCAGATCCGGGAGCGAACCGAAGGCTTACCATGCCGATTTGTCCGACGAGTGAGCCAATGTTGATGCAGAGGTAGAAGTACAAGAATATGCGAGACGTTGTCACGGTTGGGTCGACAATGACCCGCTCACCGGACGGGAGGACCTCAATCCGCTTCTTGGTGTCCGTCTGTTGCTCGGCCAGGAGAGGAGAGATGTTGGACTTGAACCCACCGGTCCCAACGCCCAGGATGATGAGACCGATGGCGAAAGCGGCCAGGGCTGAGCTGCCATTCTGGATGACACTCGGGGCTGCTGATGCTGTCAAGATGACATGGCCGACCATGGCGCAGATGATGGCAGCATGGATGGTTTTGTAACGACCCCAATGAGCATCGGCCACTGCACGACGTACGGTCAGACGAGGAAATTTTTACTTTGAATCGAGGGAGGACGACGTACTGTACGCGCCCAGTAAAGGCATCACATATGCCCAAAACTGGTTGAACGTTACCAGGCCGGTCGAAGCTCGCTGGCCCATGCCCAGCGCACCGGACTGGCCCGACTTGCCGGCACCCGTGGTGGACCCCTCGGGCAGAGGTTGTTGGATGAAGTTGACAACTGAACATGGTACATTAGCAGCAGCGCTTGTGTTCGGTGGTCGGCATGCACGACGTACAGACTACCGTAGTTCCATAGTAGGAGAATCGCTCGCACAACTCGACAAAGGCGATGGTGAAGGCTGTCCAGGGAATCTTGCCCGACACCCGACGGAGCGTGTGAAGATCGGCCTCCGTAACTTCATCATCAAGCGTTGAGCCGGTGTCTTGGAACGAGTTGACGTCGATTGAGCCGCGTCCCAGGCGCTTCTCGGTCGCGGTGCCAGCCAAGGCGGCTTGGTCGACCTGCGCCTGCGCGATGATGGGAGCTTCGTTGGATGCGATGGCGCTCATCTTGACGATGGGAATGAAAGCATAGATGGCAGAAGTCGGCGTTGGGATGCCCCCAGAGCCACCACGAAGCCATAATTATATCTCACGCGCATCGCCATCAGAATGCGGAAGGCGTACATCTTTTGGAAGATCCTTTGGAACATCAACCGGAGTGACGCACTAATGCGGAAGGTGTCTGCATCCGTTATCAATCGATTGAGGGGCGGCAGCACAGCGATGTATCCCAAGGACTTGGCGACATGGGGAGAAGTCTTGGTCCTGCTAGCATTGGACGAGCGAGGCCAGTGGCGGCCATCCAGCGGCCGACTGCGTGAAACCACTGACGGACTGCTACGACCGGATCAGCCTGACGGAGCACCAGCCCTGGTTATTCGCGGCACAAGCGTCGATGCTTGACTTTCCACGCGCGTTCCAGAATGCTTTTGGCTCTTAGTCGTGTGCCACCGCGATGTCTGCTCAGGTTGCCAGTAATTACTACAAAGGACGGCGGACCTCGGCAGCTCGCAGCCATGGCTTCCTCTCCTGATAAGAAGTACACGGCAATGCTACTGTGGGGACCGGGCGAGGCCTGAGTGCAAGAGGGTCTGGAAGGATGAGCACCAAAAGATAATCATTACCACCATGACGATGGGTATCACGACATGGCCACCGGGCAAGATTGTGCTCTTCGAATGGGAGCAGGAAGGCGAGCACGATAAAGGTGCGCTCGCGTCGATCCTCCGCCACCGAAGCAACTGCCAAGCCCATTGGCTCGAAGCAAGCAATCTGGCAATCGGGCAATCGGGCAATCTTCCACAGTACGAGGTACCTCGAAGCGGCGGCCACGTTCCACGCACGTTGTGCTCCGCCGTCCACTCCACGGCGGGGCAACAAGCTTCTAGTGCAGTGGAGTGATTTCACCCAATTTGCCTCTCGCTGCCTCCGTCTCACTCTCGCCACGCACGATAGATCTGTACCCCGTTCACGCGGTCTAGGCGAGACGACGTCCTCTATCTCGTGTCACAGCAATCCACCCTCCCACCAACAGCAACAGGTCTATGGACTGCACCCATCCAGCGCCCACGGACTGGTGTCGTGTCGATCAAAGTCGGCACATCTAGTCCTCACCATCTTGCATGTCAACGATCTCCCCGTCCTTGATGTACACCCTTTCCCATTCTGACGTCCGCCGAGCCGAACCAGCCGAATAGCGTCTTCAAAACTTGTAGAAAGATTGTGTATCCGCCATGATGAAGTCCGCCGCAACGTCAAATAGCAAGTCGTCCGCTAGCTCTGTGTGCGGTGACGACTGATGCTGATGGAAGTCTTCCTCGGTAAGGTCCTGCATTCGGTTATCCACGATCATTATTCCATAATATCGGTGTTTGGTGGCGGTGTCGAGCAGACGAAACACAGCACTTGGCGCATCACCTAGATGTTACAGGAACATGGGTCTATCCCCGCCCTCTGGGGATATTGTGGAGGGAATGCCGGAGTCAGGAATCTGGAGCTATAGTGGCTCTGGAGGGCGCAACCCTATCCCAACAGCACTTCTTGCAGGCAAGTCGTTAAATCAGGCACCCCTCGCACTGGCTTCAAGACTGTCCTGCGTCAGTCCACTCGAATTTCCTTTGATTGAAATATCAAGCAGCGATGATACCATCTGGCGAAAAGGTCGCCATAGTCACGGAGCGCGTGGTGAGCATCGAGAAAACATATATTTTCACAGTATTCCCAACGACTGTGCTAGCTACGAACTGACGGGACCATATATGGTCGGTTGGCACAAAGGCAACACGAAACTGGTCAGCGAAGGTTGGAAAGTTGCAGCTATTGATATTCCTGCTCAGAACCCGCTTGCCCACAAGCTCGCTGATGACATGTGTGAGAACCTCACTTTCCTACAATGCGATATCGCTCGCTACGATGAGCAGACGTACGCGGTTTTGGTCAATTCCAGATATGGGGACGTCTCGATGGTCTCTTTGCCAACGCACGTATCATGGACAGAAGCTCGGCGTATATCCTCAAGTGGCGTCACAAGACCGAGTTCAGTCGGATGAGAGCCCATTACTTGCGATTACTGATATGGCTTCAGATTATTTCCGGAACCAGACTTGTCTTGCGATGACACATGCCTCAATGGGGCGATCTTCGGCGTGCGACTTGCCATCCACTTCATGTGACAAAAGGCCACACCTGGCGGCACCATTGTTGCAACCTCCAGTATGGTAGCGGTACCCCCGATCGGGTCATTTCCTGGATATTCTGGAGCGAAAGCTGGCCTAAGTCTGCGGCAGAACAGGTGGCAAAGCAGACGTTGTCCAGGAAGGTCTAGCGCAAGGTAGCAGGGACGCTCGCCATCCTGGAAGAGAAAGGCTTTCTCGACGTGGTCACTGCCTACGTCATGAAGTCCATGATGTCTGCATTTATGATCCTAACTTTGACTTTGATCCTCGCCCTGGGAGAGAATGAGCATAGCGCAGGTGATGAACGACTGGTAACAGAACTCTGACACAATGGTCCTGGACGAAGCTAGAACGACGCTGATGATCGATAAGCAGTTGTTGATATACAAGGTTGGTCCAGACGGTGCTGTTGGCTCTGTGGGTCTGTGGCAAAAGGTGTATTCAATGTCCAAGCCATGCGCCTATGCCTGGCATGGATTAGGACAAGATTATCACTTAGCGGCCTGTGATCTTAGGATGCGTATGGGCTGAACTTCGTCCGAGAGGGCAGTATGGTCTCGACACTCATCGACGAGTTTGCGAAAGGACGCGTATGAGAGAGAAGGCAAGTCTCTCACTCTGGTTTTTGTGAAGTGAAAGCTGGATTATAGGTGTGGGATGGAAAAGGGCTCCCGGGTCGACGGCGGCCCAGTATCCAAGATGGCTAATGCATCGATGTCATCAAAGGTGGGAGGGATTTACAGGTTACGACGGAGCTTAATATCTGCGCAATCCGTAAGAAGACGCACCGGACCAGAGAACCCAGAGCAACACCTCTCTGATCTCAACGACCTGTTCTCCGGAATAGGCGCTTTCAGAGCCGTACACTCCCCCGTAGCGCAACTTGCGGTAACGCTACGGCGCATCTTTTCAGTCATGCATGTCGCGGGTCATCTTTTGCTTGAACACGTTCAGTGGTCGCAGGTGGCTCTGAGTTCTTTGCATATTGTCGCTGCTTCAATAGCTGCCTACCGAGCTGTCAATCAAGTGCGACTCAGGATCCCCCTCGCACAGCAATTGGCACTTTCCAGCAGTGCAAACAAACACGACCACAAGTGAAGCCGTCACCAATTATTCCCTCCTCATCCCACTTCTCTCATCCGTCAAACATCGCCGCTTCCTCCGTCCGCTCTCTGCCACAGCAAGCCTATACTTCATTGTGCCGAACCGGTGACTGCAGAAATTGTTGCTGTCTCTCAGACTAGCGCTGGAACCACATTCAACGACCTCTTAAAACCTCCGTCGCGCAAACTTTGGCGCATTCTTCGATCCCCCTTGTATGATCCGTCGACCACCAGGGAAGAGAAGCCACAACAGCACTCAGATGAGACGCTAAGGTCTTGGTCAAGTGATATATCTGGTGGAAGGGCCCAGCCGGGCTGGGCAAGCCGGGAGAGCATTGTAGTCTCTGCGAAGGAGTGTGTTGCGATAGATACCTGCGTCCCTGACCTCATGCCTTCACATGTTGGATGCGTTTGACGGCTATGGATACACGAGAATTTGTCACCAGGGACGAATTTTGGCGCATTCAAGAGACGCTGAATGACCTATCTGCAACTCAAGCCGTCCATTCAGATCGAATCATGCGCCTAGAGTCCAAGACCCCGGACGGGAGTCGTCCTAGAAACCTTTGGGGGTCGACCTCACCTTTTCCTTTGGGGTCCTCACATCACGGTAAGCCGATCTATTGTGTCACTAGGCGTGCCCCTCACTGACAGCTTACCTAGATTCGTCGCTCAATCCTGCGGCTGAGGCCTTCCGAAACTTCGACGTCGATCCCATGATCAGTTCCTTGACCCTGGACACGACGGACGATCCCAGAAGAGCAGCCGCATCAAGAGCCAATTCTGTCCGGTTTGATGAGAGCGCAAACAACCATTACGGGTCGTCAAGACAGTCTATAGAACTCCCCACGCGAACAGGAAGCGGACTTGGTGGCCATGCACTCTCTGAAAGATCGCTGTCGCACCGATCTGATGGCAGACCAACGGCTACTGGATTTGGCCGGACCAACAGCTTCGGGCTTGAACAGAGTCGCCTACTTGGCTCGATACACAACTCGCCCCGTGTGTCGGGCAACCCTCCGCCGGGTTTCTTCATCTTAGGCCCATGTCCGGCCATCATTCGTTGTTGGCTGACTCAATCCTTCTCCAACAGCTCGCTCCTTTACGCTGCTGTCTGTACGGGATCAACCATTTCTTCAGTTGGCTATCCGCTCCTCTGCAAGCTCGGTTTGACGAATGCAATCACCGATGAAGGAGAGTATCGTACAATCCGCCTGCCCGTGTATTTGACCGAAGCCAAGATCCACGCCTCTGCCGCCGTGAGATCAGGGAGCCCAGCCCCAGCCATACCTACCTTGATGGTCAAATTCGCTGTCGACGACCAGCTGGTGTCGGACCCCTCGATTCAGGTCATCTTGGGCAGTGACGTCTTGAGATCACATAACGCCGATATCCTGTTCTCTCAGGACAAGATGATGATTTTCGACGAAGACCGGAATCAACTTTCTATTCCACTCTGCCGACCAGAGGATGATGCCTCTTTCAAACATCTGTGCACGGGACCTCGTCCTCACGCATCCTCGGTAGATGCTGTTCTGCCGCCTCCAGCCTCCCCCGTGGGAGTCATTGGCCGGCCCGAAAGAGCGCGTCCGACGCAAACGGTTGTTTCGCCTACGGCTGCTCCTACGAGTGCTACTACTTCCGAACCTGAAGATGGTCGTAGAACAGAGCAGTCCACTGAGCTATCGACCCGATCCAGCCTGGATCTGGGCCCGTCCAAGCCAGCCGATGACTCAAAGTCGACCACTGGGAGTGAGAAATCATTTACGACACCTATGTCCAAGTCTGGAGTATGGTCTAACTCGTGGCGATCTGTGTCATCTACTGCCCTCAACGAGGCGGGCTCGAAACAGCCTTCATCTACGTATGCGAGACCTCAGTCGCAAAGAAACATGAAGATCCTGCGGCCGGGAAAGACGATGGCCAATGCGTCCAGAAATCCTTCTTCTTCTTCATCCGCCACTCCCAACGGTGCAGACACCTCACCGTTCAAACCGGGTGAGGCTGCAAAAGGCCCTGATTCAGTGGGCGAGTCAAAAGCTCCACTGCCCACCCCGACTTCAAAGTCTAATCCAATTGGCTCGGGCACTGCGTTCGGGTGGCTGAACACTGGACCGCAACGTAGGACGACGGCAAATAGCTGAAAGTCGCGGGTGAAACTTTTTGGCTATGATCGTTGGCTCCGGCTCTGGAGATTGTGTATCGTTGAGAGGGCACCTTACGAAGAAAATGAGGCTCGCGGATGAAAATGATTGTGGACAATCCCTGATGAGTGAAGAGGACGGAGATGACGCCCAGCTGTATTCTATGGGGAGTGAGACATCGGGAACTGGCAGCAGTTAGAATCCAAACATAGCCACCAACCCAAAATCAAAGAATAATTACGATTTCGATCATGTGTATAGAGTACTAAGTACGGAGTATGGGGAGTGCGAGCACGTGGTACGAGTACGAGGTTCTGACGAGGTGGATCATCGGAGGATAGATCTGCCGGTCCGGGTCCGCCCAAGACCCACTCAAGACCCACCCAAGGGGCGGCGGCGAACCTCCCGTTGGCCCGATCTTCCCCGACCTTTCACCTGGGACTGACGAGACTGAACCAAAGCCTTCATACATAACATCAGCTCGTCCCCTATGCAATCGTCCATCATTTCCAGGACGAGATTCTGTCTACGTCTCCCAATCTCTTGCACAAAGCCTACCGGACGAGTATCCAGTGTCTCCACGCCGGGATTTGCTCGAAATCAACACACCGGAAAACCTGTTGCAGACCATACATTGCCAACCCGTGAGATCCCACTTCCGGGAGCTGTGACGGAGGGCCAAGCCCGGAAATCGACCACCAAGACGCAAGCGGCGCTGCTGTTTGCTGATTTCGCCTCTGACACAACTCCAGCACCGCACACGCCGCAGTCTCCAAGGCCGAGACCTCTGTCAGTTGTTGACGGCGACTTGATAAGAAAGACGCCTTCAAACGTAGAGGCGGAGTTCGATCCCGAAGCCGAATCTGAGGCCGACTTTGATGGTCGTTCGCTTATAAGACGACACGTCGTGCGCAGCAAGGCCGATCCATTTATCCGGAAGACGTCTGGTCCAAGGAAGGAGATTGGCGTGTTATTTCGAGAGGGGTCTTTAAAAACGAGGGGATCCAAGAACGGCCTGGACAGCATGTCAGTGAACAGCAAGCGGATTGCAAACCCGGTGTTGTTCATCTGCGATGTGCAGGAAAAGTTCCGGGGCGCGATCTGGGAGTTTGACAAGGTGTATGTCTTTCCTCTCGCTAAGAGCAATAATACGTTGCTTCACTCACTACCGCCTTGCAGGCTGATTCACTGACAATACCGTCTCTACTACAGGATCAAGACGAGTCAGAAGATGGTCAAAGCAGGTAAGTCTCGGCGTCTAGATTTTCAATTCTCTAGCTCGTACGATAAACTCACGATTTCCCCCCTTTCTGAGTAGCCAAAATCCTCAACTTCCCCATCTTCGTGACGACACAGAACGCTGCCCGTCTGGGGGACACGGTCGAAGAGGTCGCTTCGCTGCTGCCTGAAGGGTCGGCTTCTGCGATCGACAAAACCGCATTCAGCATGCTGGTCCCGGACCTCCAGACTCAGCTGGAGAAGCTGGCCGCTGGCAATGAAAAGCTGTCGGTGTTCCTTGTGGGCATCGAGACGCACATCTGCGTCACTCAGACGACGCTGGACCTCCTTTCTGGCGGCCACAAGGTCTATGTCCTGGCGGACGGGGTATCGAGCTGCAATGCGGCCGAGAGACCCGTGGCGTTGAATCGGCTGGCGAGAGAAGGTGCGATCGTCACAACGAGCGAGAGCCTGCTGTTCGAGCTGGTTGGAGATGCGAAAGACGGGAATTTCAGAGCCGTCAGCGGCCTGGTGAAGGAAACGAAGGAGGACACCAAAGTCGCGGTCGAGACTTTTTGTCGGCTGTGAGAGGGGAGAGAAACGGGGGGAATCTGTACCTGCGTGACCGGGACGGCTGTCCACCTGTCCGTGTCTCCGAAAAGTTCTCGTTTGCGGCACCAAGAAGGTCGTACAGCTGGACGGCCTCAGAAATCTATATCGGTCCCTGAACTTCTATATGGATGACCGATGACGACGAAGCTGTTCTGGCTGAGCTGGAGGCCTATATACATCTTTATCTTTCTACTATAGTGAATGCCGATGGATCACGGGTCGCCTACCCGGTTCCTCATCTTGAGAAGTGGAGTGTTGCTGAGCCACACCTAAGGGTTCAGCCAGCATGTTGAAAGCTTCGCCTCCCTTCACAGCAGAATCGCTATGTTATTGACACTGCAGCGAAGTGACCCCGACCGAGAGAGCCGCGCAGCATTGTCAAGGAGGAATGAACCGCTCAAGCCATCCATGCAGTGCCGGCAGGGTCGTACCGTAACCGTTTGCCTAGGGGGCTTTGCAAGAAGAGCGACTGAGTTCCTTCTGGTCCTTCCTGCTGGAGGGCTCTCGTGATGGTCTTGAACAAGTAGGATGCCGAGCGCCCACACTTACCTGAGGCATTCCTGACACACTTCGGGCCACGTTGGTGCGAGCACACCCTTCTATCTTGCGGCCTGCAGACCCGACAGGTCTTGCCGCTCGACTTGGTGCATCTTCGCCCATCCTTCCGTATCGCCAACCAGCGAGTTCGGCTGCTAACGTCAAGGCCTGGCACGGGGATGCCGAGCAACGTGTCGACCTGGGAGGGCTGAATACTAGACAGTTCTCTTCGGCCGCCCTCTCGGCCACATCATGGACATGCCCAGCAAGATTCCAAAGTCCTCAAGTAGGCGATTTTCCTGTGCGGCTAGACCTTGCGCCATGTCGTCCCGCAACTGCTGCTCCCACTCAAGCAAGCGGAGCCCTCACTCGTTCTGTGAGGTCGTTGCCAGGGGAAGTTCTGGTGCTTGTGGCAGGCAGGACGCTGGAGAGTTGGGAGAAGGAGCCCCTCAGATACCTTACCACTGTGCTGCCACCTCTAATGCTGGCTATTCCTTCCTCAACGTGCTATACCCATCTCCCGCCTTCCTTCTTGTGATGCTGCCGTAGAATAAAGCCTGCCCGCTCTTTGCATTTCTTACTCTTCCCTCGTCCCTCCCTACCTCACGGTGTCAAACTGTCAGAATTCCAGGCAGTCCTTCACACTTCCTTCTCCTTTCTTTGCAATGCTACAATATGCACGATGCCGGTGTTCACGCTACCTTTTTAGTTCCCAGATCGTGCTTCAGCAATCGAATCCCTCCCCCTAAGTCCACCAGGCTGCCGGCCTTCGACTTTCGCCGTCTCCCCATAGACGACCAGTAGTGGTTGAAGTCAGGAATGCAGGCCGATGCACATGGTGTGGCCTGCAAGGTCATCATACTTCCAAAAACCAATACTGGTGGGTTCGATTCCCCTCAGTCGGTGAAGATTTTGAAGGATCTCGGCGCCAGGGGGCAATGAAGAAGAAACCAAACAAGTCGGAGGCTGATGCTTTTTTGTTTTTTGCTAGATCTACACCCGTTCATTTGAAGTCGGAAATGCAGGCCGATGCACCTGGTGTGGCTTGCAATTTCATCATCCTTCAAACAACCCATATCGGTGGGTGAAAAATCTTGAAGGATCTCGGAGCCCAAGGGCATATGAAGAAGAACAATCACAGGTCGGAGGCTGGCTGTATTTCTTTTGCTGGCATGGCCGAGACTTTATACCTTTTGTCGTGGCGAATGGGTCATTCTTCGACACTCAGCATGGTTGCTCATACTGTCGTCGAGGGTATGGAGTGGCAGTGCCGCATGCTTTCTCTTCTGATAGGCCGTACCAGAGATTAGAACACCTTATTGAACTCTGTAAACAACGACGACCAAGCAAAATGCGCGTCGGGATCACCTCGGTTTGCAGGAGTTTGGCCCATGCGCAAATATGTCTGAGATGAAAAGACTTCTCTGTTTGGTTGTACCTGAGTACTGAATAAGTCTCTTGAGTTATGTGACTGGCTTGCCCGAATTGCGGCAAGATGCCTGAGCTCCTACGGCGGAGCGGTCAGCCACTTTGCGAACTTGGGGCGAGCATGCGGCAGTATTGGGCAGTTCTACAAGCAAGTCCACCATGTCGAATGGGTCGAATGGGTCGAATGGGTCGAATGGGTCGAATGGGGTACCTACCAGACTTTCCCTTGGCCAGACAAGCACAGACAAGCAATGATACAGTATTCCTGCACCGCGACCCTTGCCGCCTTCATAACCATCTACGTGCGGTTCAACCTCACGCTCCTCTCACCTTCCTTTCGTGTCTTGTATTCAGCACCATCTCAGCCTTCCCGCCACCCGGACCTAGGGCGTAGCGAATGCCGTGGAAGCACACTAGAAATCCTGAACGACCCCGACGGTATGCGACCAGCTGGTGAATGACACAAGTCCATTTATTCTACGACGGGGAAAGTCGAGAGCTCCAGGACTCCAGCTACGCTAGTCGGTCCAGCAACATAATGATCAAATTCAGATGTATAGGATGGATCTACTCCGTAGAAACAATGGCCATACTTGCAGGATCTCACTCTTGTCATTAATTAGAATTCTCACCGAACGGACGCATAATTGTTTACATTTGTCTCCCAATCGATGGTGTAGTTACAGCAGCCATGACTCTGAATACAGTATACTATCACACCCGCCGAGGCCCCTGACCGGCAGAAACTCCTACCCCTGAACATTGAGATGTTGTTGGCACAGGTCACGGACACGACAAAAGAGGTTCGTCGCGTGGTCTACACACACAGCCCAGGCTCTCTGAGGGATCAAGGACACTCCGCCAATCGAGCCTGTCAGTTTTACGGCACGAGGACAGAATGAGTCTTCGCATCTGACTGAACGTGGAGCTCGGCTTGGAAGAAGCGCCATGTGTATATTTTAGTTGATCAATAATTAGTACTTTATATCTGAAAACATATATGTTCTTACAATTAAAGCCTAATACGTATGGACTTCATTTCCACGACGAAGATGCTTGTCCGAGCCGGGTCCTGCTCAGAACACCACGTTCAGCACTTTCCCCCCTCCGACCACGACGACTCGCCTTCTTTTCTCCCAGTCATTCTTCTCCGTCAGCCACACGCGGCCTTCTTCAGAACGGAGCACAGCACGCAGTATCTCCTCCTCTCGCGCTTTTTGGTTGTTGTGGTGGTCGTTCTGCCGCTCCGCCGACAATGCTGGCACCTCTGCGGTAAAGCGTAATTTCCCATTCACCTGCACAGCGCACGTGATGGTGGTTTGTCGGCTTCGAAGCGCCCTGACTTGTTCTGCGGTGATGATCTCTCCCGTCCACACCGTGTCGAAGATGCTGTCACAGTCTGATGTCGACATTAAGCTTTCCCAGCATTCTTCGGCGAAAGCAGGGGTGATCGGCGCCATCATCTTCAGGAGCGAGGCGACCGCGATATGGGCGATAGACGGCGTCAGGTTGTTAATCCCGATATCATCCAAACCGTTCGTAAGCTTGATCAGGTCAGAGACCGCCGTATTCAGGCTGTAAATGTCGCGCGAGAATGTTTTCGAGACGTTTTCACTGATGCTCTGCGCTAGGAGCAGAGCTTTCGCGTCGCTGTCGTTGAGAGTGCTCAGTTCGGGAACGATTGTCTTCGGAAGGTCGCTCTTAGCAGTCTTGGTGATGCCAACAAGCTCGGCCACGATCCGGTTGACTCGACCGAACCATCTCTGTATCCCCACGATCTTCTCCTCATCCCATTGTAGCACCTCGCTGATCGGTGCTGCGAAGAGGATGTGAGCTCGGAGGGCATCTGCGCCGTATTTCTCAATGGCGATACTAGGATCCACGCCATTATGCTTGCTCTTGGACATCTTCTCCCACGTCACGTTGGCCAGCTTACCGTTTGACTTGATGACACCGGATTCGCCCGCAATGTCGACCTCATCCGGTAGCAAGAATCGGCCCGTGTCCGGATCAGAGAAGGTCTTGCCATGGACCATCCCCTGGGCGATGAGTTGTTGAAATGGTTCGGCGTGGCCAGTCTCCCCCGAGACATGGCCTTCACTACACAGAAACTTGTAGATGAACCGCGCATAGAGCAAGTGGAGGATTGCGTGTTCCACACCACCCACGTACGTGTCGACAGGAAGCATGCTGGCTGCTGACTCTTTGGAAAAGGGCTCTTCGACGTTGTTCGGGTCCGGAAACCGCATGAAATACCAGGACGAATCAACGAATGTATCCATAGTGTCGGTTTCTCGCTTCGCCGGCCCGCTACACTGGGGACATCTGCAGTTGACCCACTCATCGATCTTGTCGAGTGGGTTGCCAGTCTGACCCTTGATGGAAGAGTCTAGCGGGGGCAACATCACTGGAAGGTCGTTCTTGGGCACGGGGACAGTGCCGCATTGCGGACAATGTATGATGGGAATAGGCGTTCCCCAGTACCTCTGTCGGCTTACCAGCCAATCGCGCAGTCTCCAGGTTTCGACAGCCTGCCCCAGACCTGCCTTGTGCAAGTCAGAGACGATCTTTGTTCTGGCCGCGCTGCTTGACATGCCAGCATAGGACCCGCAGACTGTGGTCAAAAAGCCGTCATTCGTGTAGGCTTCCGACAGCTCGGAAGGGAGCAATTGGGCTGGAAGGCTATCGGAAGGCTCCGGTGCGATAGCTATCGTGACGGGTTCCGAGGGGCGGTGAAGTTTCCAGAAGCTAAGATCCCGAGAGTCGTGCGCCGGCACGCCCATAACCGCGCCTTCTCCATAGTCGTCAAGTACATAGGGTGCAGCAAAGACTGATAAAGGTCCAATGTCCTGGTATCCAGACTGCGAGAGAGGATGTATGGCCTGTAGGGGGAGTTGGAATCCCTCCTTTGAGTCGGGTGGGAAAGAGGCCCGCCTATCGATGAACCTCTGAAGCTCTGCTGATTGACCGGCAGCCTGAACCACAAGCGGGTGGGTCAGTGACAAGGCGATATACTTGATCCCGAACAAGGTATCAGGCCTCGTTGTGAATACGTGAATATTGGAGGACTTCCCAGCTTCGTCCCTCAACGCAAATTGAATGCGTGCACCATTAGATCGGCCGATCCAATTCCGCTGCTGGGTCAACACTCGGTCGGGCCATTTCCCGCCTTCAGCGAGGTAGTCGAGGTCTTGCAGCAATGCCTCCTTGAATTCGCTAATCTTCAAAAACCATTGGCGGAGTTTGATCTGCTGGACAAGTGCTCCTGACCTCCAAGAGCGTCCATTATGATCTACTTGCTCGTTGGCAAGCACAGTTCTATCCACTGGATCATAATTGACCAGGGCTTCGGCCTGGTACGCCAACCCTCGGTGATACAGCCTCAGAAAGATATCCTGCGTGTGTTTGTAGAATGACGGTAAACATGTTGAAATTTCCTACAGACATCCGATCAGTCTACATACATTCATTCAGAGCCCTGGAACCTACAGCATCCCAATTGAAACTTGTGTTCATGCTCTTCAGCTGTTGCTTCATCTTTGTGATATTCTCTTGTGTCCATACCGCCGGGTCAACGCCACGCTGGATTGCAGCATTCTCAGCCGGGAGTCCAAACGCATCCCATCCGGTCGGGTGCAAAACATCATGGCCTCTCATTCGTCGGTGACGGGCGATAACATCGGATATGGTGTAGACACGCAGGTGACCCATATGCAGAGATCCGGAGGGATATGCAAACATGGGAAGGACATAAGATTTGGGTGAGGCTTGTGCCTGCCGAACAGCAGTCTTGTTTGCCCATCTTTGCTGCCATTTCGAGTCAATGGCACGGAAGTCCAGGCGGCCAGGAGCATGGGAGGCAGATTGAAGGGAATTGGAATGCAGATCCCGAGCAAAGCACAGCCATGCTGATTGTCTGACCACGAAACTTCTCGACAACAACATCACCTCCAGGCCCTCCCGCGCCGTCCTCGAAGGGATACAAAACCACGAGTCGTCGTAGCGCGTGGTGAGGTGAAGCAGACGCAGTGAAGGTATGAGGTACTCCGAATCGTTCGGCGAGAAATTGACCGCGTTTAATCAACACGTGATTGACGCGCTAACCAGCCTGGTGCCACAGTGTGGGATCTTGGCATCGAAACAGCATTTCATCCAATTCAACACCAAGGGATCTGGCTATGATCTAGCTATATACCAAACTCTGAAGGCTTTACTCATAAGTCTATCATCTGGCACGCTCTCCCTTTGCGGGACGCTGTGTTGGAACGCAACTGCTTGCTGTGTCTTGCCACGACATGGTCGACCTTGCTGGTAAACAAATGAGCAAACTGCAACGTCTGAGCCTCACAACACCGCTTTCCAGTGTGCCAAAATGGCTTCGTATTCCCATTCCACGGACTTGTGTATGATGGGACGATATGAAACCATCGTCGAGGCATTTAGGCAGAGCAGCCTTTGTTCTAGGCACAGCGGCCTCAGTCTTAACTCATCTAAGATATGTTCTTGTCGCGCTCTTGATCCTTCTCATTCCTAGGGTATCTAGCTATATCTTTATTCAAAGCTGAGTTTCAGGTTATTTCGGTCTCATTCGAGTATTTTGACTCATGCTTTGAGCTGCAGTGATGTCACTTGCCAGCAGACGGGTTGTTTTTGTTCGTGACACTTCACTAATTTGATGTCCAGGAGCATCCGGTATTGTCTACGCTGGTCACATGTCTCTACCGTTGGCAGCTCACACGCGTCACTGGATCAATGCTCTTCGGAGTGACAAGAATTGCGCTGCCTCCGAGACCAGATCGGCTCTCTCGCAACTTGCCTCTTCTTTTGATCAGGTGTTCTACTTTCAGTCAGTATCTCACTATCTCTCACAACATGCCTGGGCTTTCTTTCCAGAAACCTTCCACAATATAACTTCAATAACGTCCTCCACGGAATACTTCGATCTGGCCGGCCGAAAGTGCCTACGAGTTCTGCGACCCAACTCCTCTGCATAGGTTGCCCGGCGGAGCTGAACTGGTTGGCCACTTCCACCTGTGGGTGATGTGAACCACTTGTTTTGTTGTTTAGTCTGAACCGTTTCGGACTCTCATAGTCTTCCGTGCCCCAAGGAGCCAAAGCTCCCTTTCGGTTCACTTCTTGCCTTCTATTGTCTCATAAGCAAAACAAAGGGGGGAAAGGGCGAATGTTCCCGACACCATGGCACCTAGCATTGTGAATCAGTCAGCTATCACTAGAAAATGTGGGTATCGCAGTCGTTATCTTCCATGCTATCCACTGACTGATCTGTCTGAACAGGGTTCATGCAGCCCAATGTGGCTCGATCTCCGGTCAAACGCAATGCACTCCGCAAGAGCGACTCGACCGAGAAAGATGCCAACGAAGCTCTTGAAGCGGAAGATGGCAGAGGTTTACTGCTTCGCAACTGGGCTGATGTTGCGCGAGGATCGGAACGGACTCGTTGTCCACAGGCGCGTGGCCGTTTCACACCTCAAGTTGCAGAAGTCCAGCATTCTAGTGTCCGTTACCCCACGAATCATCTCCTTGCTATCCCTCAGGAAGTCCGTGACGCGATTCTGGAACTTCTGCATCCAGAAGAAGAAGTTGCCGGCACTCGACCCGTGGCTGGGTACGAGAATTACCAGCTTGCTTGCAGACAAACATTTCATGAGACTTCGAGACGCTGGAACTACCAGCCCACGGTCCTGGTGCCATTCAATCGGGCCCTGGAATTCATCACACGAACACTCAATGCCGCAGTACTTCACAGCAATGCTTACCACAACGTCAAGAGTCTGTTCCTTGAGATACGTCACGATGCATCGAGCAGGGTTTTCTCTCAGATTGCCCAAGTTCTGAGACTGTCGACTCAACTTGAAGAACTCCATCTCTTCGGCGTCGGGCCAGACGGATACGGGGTCAGCACCAGCTCGGTTGCCCATAGCTGTGGAAAGCACGACATGTCGATCGTGCCCTTGAAGTCCAAACTGCACATCGACGGACAGCATTATCGGCGACGCCTTACACTGGTCAATGGTATTCCTTGGCTGCAACACCTCAAAGTCCTCGTTCTGGACAACCTCAACATGCCTTTGCTCCAAGCCCATGTGCTCATGAACAAACCTCGGCTTCAGAAACTCTACGTCTCCGCGGATCCTCGAAGTGCACTGCATGTGGAGTACAAAGGTTGTCCATCCCTGGGGCTGGGAAATCTGGTTTGGCCAGTCAATGGCAATATGCCTCCGGTCAAAGAACTCCGTGTTGATGCAAACGCAATCCTCACCGCCAGCCAAATCGCTTTGAAAGTCGCCGAAACACTGGAGAGCTTGGAGTGGACCATCCCAGATGCGGCGTTCCAACTCCATGGCGGACAAATCAGCTTCTACAATGAGGCAACACAAGTGCTGTCCCGAATGCCTAACGAAGCTACGCGACTGAGGGAGCTACGGGTTTGCGTGCATGGCCCTGTTTCCGAAGACAATTACCAGTCTGGGAATCTCATGGGATCCTTCAAAGACTGTGTTTCCCGCATGCGGTCTCTTGAGCTGGTCGAACTCCATATTCACTCGAAGTCACCGTGGTTCGCAAACGAGTTCGTCGAGGCGCTTTCTCCATCCGTCACTCGGCTTTATCTAACCGATATCTGTGTGGATAGAAATATCCGAGAGCTGTGTGATTCCGTCAGCACAAAGACGGGCATAGACGCACACCACCTCGAGGAAGTCCACAAGGCGGTTGCAATTGGAGAAGATCTCACTAGGCAGGACTACATATCATTCAGTGGGAGCAGACTGGGGTTTGTGGGGTACGAATACGACCTGAATCTCGACGTGAAGGCAGCTGCAAAGCAAGGCGAAGACATGACGATGTTCCTCAAGCTCAACGGAAGACTCTTGGACAGAGAGCGAAATCACCACCTCGCTAGTTTCGAAGGCATGTTTATCCCGCCCGAAGAAGTACCAGAGGAAGAATGCCTGGAGTGTATCGACCTCCAATCGGCCACTACACATGAGCAAGTCGAGAAGAACCGCAAAGAGCTCGCTGACTGCATTCTCGACGATCACCATGAGTACTTCGGCAGTGAAGATGTCGCAGAGGTCGTCTTCCGTCACGAACCAGTTGCGAAGGGCGGCCACTACAGCTACCCAGTGACCTCGGAGGTTGAAAATGTGTTCAAGCGCTCCACCCACTGGCTGAGCAAGTGAGGGCCCAGCGGAACAGAAGAAGTTGTGACATCAGGATTTCTCAACTAGCAACGCGGGCACGAGGGCCCAGGGGTGCTGCGGACTAACAAGCGATCAAAGGCACAAGGCCCTGCTGGTTTCATATTCGTTTTCTCCCGCGCTGGCATCGCGATGCAGAAACGTCGGCTTCTAAGGGTGCTTGCCGAGGGTCAGTTACTTTGCATTCCTTTCCTTTTCTTGTTCCATAGGTTCAGATAGACAGGTACATGCGCGGTTGGACACAGCATAGAAGACAGATTCATCAATCGATCAGGCATTATCCAGCAGTCGCCGAAGACTCCGACAATCCACTTTGCGAAATCTTCACTTTCCGTGTTGATTCCTTGAACCTTGAATTCACTCCGACATCTGAGTTAGACGTCACGTACTGGGGGCGTGCCCTAGCACCTATAGTGGGTGCCTAGACGAGTCAACACCTGATCCCGGCATAGTGCGGGTGCGCGTGGGCTTGCCCCAATCGGGTGCTTGGCGCCCCTGCCGAAAGCCTAACGACTGGGCCGTCGCTTGTCGCCCCCCAAACTCTCCGTGGTACGTGGCGCGTATCTCGATTCAGGTCGTCACCTCCCCGTCACATCAACTGACTCAAACCTTGCATCGAGCCATTCTTTGCTAAGCTCGGAAGCCAACATGCAGCACGACGCAGGGCACTCTGCCGCCTCTCCTGCGTCGCCTCCCCAGCCTGCCGACGGCAATGACCTCCCCCCGTCCTCCACGTCACTGGCCGGCCGAAAGCGAAAAGCTGGTGGCGCTGGGTCTCGTGGCGTGGCAAGCCTCACCCCCGAGCAGCTGGCCAAAAAGCGTGCCAATGATCGAGATGCCCAGCGCGCCATCAGGGAGCGCACGAAGCACACTATTGAGAACCTGGAGCGCAGGATAGAAGAGTTGACGTCCCAGCAGCCGTATCAAGAGCTGCAGGAAGTCCTCCGACAGAAAGAGGCCATTCAAGCCGAGAATGAAGAGATCCGGAGGAGGCTGGCCTCGGTCATGTCTCTCATCCAGCCCATCATAGGGGCCCAAGGACTGACTGGTATGACTCCTGACCTGCAACAGAGCGCAGGCCGTTGCTTACTGATCTCGGACCAGACCTTGCCACTGCCGCCCAACACAATGTCCAGGCTGGAATCGGCCGGCACACGCCCCATCCTGCCTTTACACCCGCCACCAGCGCCTCCCCCAATCCGGCCTACTTCACCACACAGCAACATGGGAGAACAGCGTTCTCCGTGCCGCCCAGCACGACGCATGGCCAGATGGGGGCTTCTGCATACCAACCTGCGTTCGCAGCTGAAGGCCCTGAAGAGGCCCGGACTTGGCCTGTGTCGAGGGATGCTCTCAGCATCCAGCGAGACAACCTTCAGCGAGGCCTCGAGCTGAACGACAGCGGAGAGCGAGTCAACTTCAGCTTCTTACTGGATAGCCTGGGAGTAAGACCGAGCAACGGCAACCTCGATAACCTGCAACCTCCACAACACTCCTCGCCGTCAAGCCAACATCCGGCTTATGCTTCAACTGCCGCCAGTCTGTCTGAGCATTTGCAGGTGCCTGCCGCACCATGGAGCATTCTCCCTAAGATTGGCCCGGCGACGTGTCCCTTGGACCGGCTCCTCCTCAACTTCCTGCAATCCCGTGAGCGCGAACCGACCAGGGCCAATGGGACAATCCCACCTTCTTACCCTTCCGTGTCGTCACTTCTGAATCCATCCGGAAATCCTGCACTGGATCCTTTATCCCAATTTATGACCGACATCATATCTAAATTCCCCGACATCGCAGAACTGCCGAATCAGGTAGCGACTTTGTTCTGCATGTTCAGTATGATGCGTTGGCAAATCCACCCGACGCAGGAGAATTACGAGCGGCTACCCGAATGGCTGCATCCCGTTCCGATACAGTTATATACCTCACATCCGGCCTGGATAGATCACCTTCCGTGGCCTCGCCTGCGCGAGAAACTCGTTGCAAACTCGCAGGACTACCCATTTGACAACTGGTTCATCCCTTTCACCTCGGGCCTGAGCGTCAATTGGCCTTACGACCCCGTCGACTGTCTCCTAAGCACATCTGAGCAGGATGAACCCGTCATGAACCCGGTCTTCGAGCGGCATATTCGTCGACTCGAAAACTGGAGCCTAGGGCCATTGTTCGCCGAGACGTTTCCGGAGCTGGTAGAGGCGACGAGAATCCAGAACAAGGAGTCTATGGGACTCACACCGAGTCTGGAGTCGAGAAAGAGAGACAAAAGCATAGCGTCTTCGACAGCATGACTTCACTGGAAGAGGAGGTGGAAATATCACGCCTCATGGACTTTCCACCGTTTACAGTTCGAGCCGAGCCGAGCAGTGCCACAGCCGTGCGCTGATGAGAATATGGAAGCAAGAGTCAGATTTGCAAAAGTTGTTGGTGTAGGCTTCCAAGGATATCCGATCATCCCAAGGGGCATACCCAGACTGAGCTGTAACCCCAACCTTGTCGCTGCCGCTGACGGAGTCTTCGATTCTTCACCATCCTGGCCATTCTCACCCCGGGAGCGGATCGAATTATTCCTCCGGTGCAGCTTGGTATACCGCCTAACATTGCATCCTCGTCGCGTCGCTACTTGGCTAGCCAGTGCTGCAGCAGCCGCTTGATGGCAGCGGGGCGCTGCGGTAGAGCCTCAGTCCGTGTGCCGGGGCCTTCTGGGGAATTTATATTCTACGTCTCTGTCTTTTCCTTCTCAAATATCCGCTTCAACGGTACCAGAAGTCACTGTCACGTAGCAGATTCATCAGATCTCCATTGACTTTCTCTTTGACCTTGTGTCCCAAAAACGATCGTGTCACAAACGATCGTGTCACTGAGTATGGTGGCCTCAGCCTGACTGGCCAAGTCATTCACCGTTGTGTACTGGGAACCGCATTGTGGGGGCTGGAACATCCTCCTCGAAGTGGCGTGGTGTACTCCGTACAGCAAATGTATATATTTGGGACCTCAGTGTGACAGACTCAAGTCACACTCAAGCGCGTATTGCAGCGCTCTCAAATACAGGAGCCACGGGCAGAGCACCGTAATTCCTGGAGTTGAGTCTTCTACTATCGACCAGGGTCGGCGTTAGTTGTCGCTCCAGACCTCGCTCCTCTCGGAGTGTCGTCTATAAGCGCCGTGCCATGCCGTTTTGCATTTTCCACGCCTTCATGGAGACTCATATCATCATCGTGAAAACGCGACCCTCTCTGCCAGTGCTGCCACCAAGCCGTCGGATTGACATCAAATGCGACCGGCTGGTAGACTCGTCAATACTCATGGTCAATGGGTCTTGCCCCGTTCGGCCTCGGCATACAGCACCCTTCGCTAATGCAACGCCCATTGATCCGCTCTCCGCTCATCCTGCAACTTTCGGAGCATATTTCGCACTTGCGGCATCAAACAATTGACTCTTCTCTTCCAGGTCCCTCAGTAGAGCATGCCCCGCATCCTTCTCCTTCAACTGCTGCAATAAGCCCTCTAAGACATCCCCTTTCTTCCCCATCACACTGGCGAGCACGACACTGTTGGCCACGGCCTGGACGTCGGCGTTCTCCATGCTCATCGCCTGTTGCAGGGCCGCCTCCGCCTCCTCCAGCCTGCCGAGATGGATCTCCGACACGGCCTGCCCAACCAGCGCGGTCGGCGACGTCGTGCCCGGCGCGCTCGCCAGCTCCTCAAACACATAATAGGCAGACTGATACTTCTCGGCGCCCCCTTCGCGCATGTTGGTCCAGCTCTCCGCCAGATTGATGAGCAGCGAGTCCTGCGCCCATCGCTTTGCCGCCGCGACTTCCTTGACCGCGAGGTCCGTGCGATTTTGCAGCAGGTGGATCTGGACCAGCAGCGCGACGGCCTCGAGCGAGCCCTGGTGCTTGCTGAGCAGGTCGACGGCCTTGGTGTACTCGGCGTGCGCGGCCAGGACGGTTCCGGCGCAGATCTGCACGACACTATCCTCGCCGTCCGAGTCGGCTAGGGAGAGAGCGGTCTCGAGCGCGGACTGCCCGTTCCCTGCTGCGTTCTGGGCAAGTGCGACGATGGAGCGGGAGGCCGCATCCTGGGATTGTTTGAGCGACGATATGACGGTCGAGGACTGTCCTAGGGCGATTTGAGCGCGGTATTTCAGGATCTGGGCATTGCGTTTGTTGTCCGCCGAGAGGGCTGACGTGTCGAAGGAGAGGACGGCCGGGTAGGCGTGCGTGAAGAATGCGGTCGAGATGTTCAGGAGTTCTGTACGCAGGACCCTCATTAGCATGCAGGTCAGTGGGCAGAGGGGAGGGGGGGGCAGATGTAGGGCAAACCGCACCGCCTTCGCCGGAGAACGGATCCATGGTGAGAGGTACAGGAGACAAATGTACGGCGGTAGATCCCGTCAGGTTCTGCTATTGCTGGTTGTGCAGAAGACCAGCAAGTCGTCGGCATGGGATACTCGTACGGTGTCAACATTTATTTCTGAAGGGGCAGGTACGGCGAGTTGACGTTCTCCGCAGTGAGGCAGTTAGTGGTGAGTACGGAGGAGTAACTAGACACTGGTGGCATCTACAAAGTACGGAGTGCCTCAGGTAATTAGTTTACTCGAGGCCCACGAACAGCTACAGACTCGTACCCACCGCCTATGGGGTGCTCGTACTGGGTACCTGCTTCAATCTAAGCACTTTCCTCTCCTCTTTAGTCAAAGTGAAACAGTACAACCTAGTCCAATCTGATATGCTCTAATCAACGCGAAACACTCCCTCTCACCGCGTCGACCAGCCCGCTGCAATCACCCACCACACTCACTCGATCACTTCCTTCCTCCCTCCCTCTACATCTCCACCATGCCCCGCCCTCCCCGCCCATTCAGCTTCTCATACACGTACAACAGCATCCTTCTCGACCACCAGAAGATCCAGACGCGCAAGGCAGTAAGCCGCGTCCGGGGCAATTATCACCTCTTCTTGCGCAATCAGCCGCGGAAACCGCTGTTCAATGTCCCGATCGAGAGACAGGCTCTGGGGTCCAGGAGGACGTGGCGCGTGCCGAAGATGAGGGGTGAGTAGGGAGTACCGCAGTACGGGCTGGTCATGAGAGACTGGTGCGGGTGCGATTGCGAGAGTGAGTTCGCGACACTGCGACTGCGGGTATCTCAACTGTGATTGTGACGAGGGCTCGTCGTGGGATCGCATCTTTGCTTTGCCGTCAGTGTGCGCGTGTACAGCGATGATGACTCTGGGATCTCGCGTCTGGTTTGGCGTCAGTGTGTGCGGTCACAACGATGACGGCTCTGGGATCTCGCATCCGCTTTGGCGTCAGTGTGTGCGGTTACAACGGTTCACTCAATCTCTGCTCCGCCTCCGCATTCATACCCTCGGCGTTACTGGATGATCGCTTTGATATGGCTGTATGAGTACGGACGGATTGTCGGATCTTTGTCGTCGGATACGCGTTATGGCTACATGGATATATGGAGGCTATCTCCCATCTCTACTTCGACGTCATGAATGAGAAAATTTCTCGGCTCCGATCCTCTTCCACCTGTTCTCAGCCCCGGCCTTCTTTACTCTGTCAGTGGGACGGTGTCCACGAACAAGGCCTTCGCAAATGCCTCGGGATACCGACCACCATGGACTTCAGCCGCGTCGATCACCTTTCTGATTTTCTCATTGTCTTCCCTCGAGATCTGGATGTTCAAAGCGGCCATGTTTTCGTCAAAGTTCTTCACCTTGGTCGTGCCGGGGATCGGGATGATATCGTCACCCTGAGCCAACAGGAAAGCCAGCACGAGTTGGCCTGGCGTACAGCCCTTCTCATCGGCCAGAGCCTTCAGGTCGTCCACCAGTTTCAAGTTCTTGGGGAAGTTCTCTTCGCTGAATCTGGGTGCAAATGTGCGGAAGTCGCCTTCTTCGAAATCACTCCGGCTTCGGATGCTGCCCGTCAGGAAGCCTCGGCCGAGTGGTGAGTACGCGACGACGGCGACGCCGAGCTCTCGGCACGTCTTGAGGAGATTGATCTGTGGGCTCTCGATGTCCATGGAGAACGGACTGTACTCGATTTGCACGGCATCGATGTGTACGACCTGCTTGACTGTTAGCGGGTATTAATTCGGGATGGCCTAGCTGCCCCTTACCTTGCAAGCCCTCCTGAGAGTTTCTGCACTGCACTCGCTCAGGCCCAGATACTTGACCTTGCCGGCATCTTGCAACTCCTTCATGACCCCCACTGTGATCTCGATGGGCTGATTGGCTTGCACTCTGTGGCAGTAGTACAGATCGATCTGATCAATACCCAGCCGGCTCAAGGACTTGTCGACGGCCTGTCTGATATAGTCGGGCTCGTTCTTCACGGATCTCTCTCCCGTCTTTGGGTCGACATAGTTGGCGAACTTGGTGCAGAGAAAAATCTCCTCCCGCCGACCAGGGTTTTTCTTGAACCAACGCCCGATCAGATCTTCGTTGTCTCCATACATGTCTGCTGTGTCCCAGAAACGCTCTCCAGAGTTGTACACGTGATCGAGGAAGGCGTATCGTTCTTCATCGGGCTTGGGTTTACCGTAGAATGCTGAGAGGCCCATCAGGCCGAAGCCGAGGGCTGTCACTTCAGGGCCATTCTTGCCGAGCTTGCGCGTGGGAAGTTGTGGTGCCATTGTTCACTGTTGGGATTCTGCGTCGAAGTTGAAGTGAAGTTGAAGTCGAAGTCGTTGTGAGGGACAGACTGAGCGAGGCTGAGGGATCATAGAATATATACTTCCTCATGTGGAGAAAGTTCAGGGAAGAAGTGATTAGCAACGAATGGAGCGGATTTTTGCTATCATGAAGTCAGCATGAGTAGAATCTCCTTCTTGGGACTGCCGGCGCTCGGTTTGCGTTTGGCTCGTCCGTATCTCCGAAGCACTGGGTGTTAACTCAGACATTTCCCGATCTGAGCTCGACGGTCCCCCACTCCGCCACCTTTGTCCTCTGATGTCATGCATGTTCACGGTCAACTCGGGCCATTCCGAAGTTCTTTTCTCTGTCCTGCCTGAACCTGTCGGTCGTAACTAGTAACTCGTGGCACCCTCCATTTCGAACGGCTGCGTCTCGAGTGCCCCGGATTTCTTCGGAGTTACGTTCTCCCATTTCGAGGGCAGTGTCTCTCCCCCATGCGGCCGCCTCGTCCGCACGACGACTGATATTGTTCAGCAGTTGATTCTCGAAACAGCACCCTCAATCAATCAATCTACCACAGACATACCGCCTCAATGACGCGTCAACAGGATGCGTGGCGTGATTGCTTCGCGATCCCTACCTTCTCATCACTAATCAATCGCCTGAGAACGGATTGCAGATGATGCTGCGAGGGTCTTCAAGGAGCCCATACCGCAAACACGGACTCGACCCCAGAAGGAAAATTTAACAGAGCTTTCACGGCTCGCATCCCTGCTACGAGCACCACGATCATGGTGGTCAGGTCGATCAGGTCTAGTTTCAACTTCGAGAGACCGTGTGCTGTACGGAGTACGTTACCACCTCATTCCCCCGAGGCGTTATTGATTTCCAATCGTACCTGGAGACTCCACGTACGCCGTGCAAACCGGACAAGATCTGCTTCAAAGCATATTACAAATGAGCTGGCATGGTCCTGCAACACCGTTGCGAATTCGCGAGCATGGCTTGTCGCGCGTTTTTGCGGTGCGGAGTTTAGTGTTGGTCACGGCTCCCTTACTCTACGCGTAATGGAGCACGATGAGTGTCACCTCCGCTCGATACGAGACAAAGCGCAAAATGAAAGGCTCGATGTTGTAGAAGCTTCAGGAGACAGCAGGTAAATCTGGACGGCGAGTCGCCGAAGCTACGTATCTTGCACATCTTCCACCATCTGCTGGCCGCAGCCTAGGCTCTTGCATTATGTTCAGAAGAGGTGGAATATCTAGCCGCTGGACGGTCAGTGATTTTATTCTTCGCTGTCGCTAAATCTGCCCGCAGGCCGCACTACATGGATCCCGTATCTGGCGACCAGCTTGGTCACACTGCTTCAGATTCCATTCTTTTGAGGCAGCAAACGCAAAGCCCAGACAGTCAGACTTTCGAGCCGCGTGAACGGAGATATACGCTATTACGTCGGGACATGATCTCTTTCTGTGCGTGCTACTCGCCTCTTAACGGTGGACTTATCTGGTCATCTCGTCATGACCGACCTCAGTCGTAGCTAAATCATCATGTTGATAAGCGTTGGGCTGGCGTTACCACCTCGCCAGCATCAATCTACGTTCTGCCTTTAGCTGGATGGCATGGACCATCCCAAACGCAGCCTTCCGCCACATCGCCCGAGAACTTTCAGCGTACCACTCATTGCAGGGCGATTTCAGGTATTTCTGTAAGCTAGAACAACCGGGAGGGAGATCGGTCTATAATTTTTCCGCCATGTCTCGCAATGAATCCAATCTTCAGAACAACGAAACGTCGGATACGGCTACTGTACCCTCAATAACGGCCGGAAGGACCGTGGATTGATGCAGCACAGATCCCTGACTCCCAAACAATCATCTGCTGTATGACATGACACCGGGACTGTTAAGGGATCACCGCGCCGAGATACGGCGCCAGGCGAAGTTCCTTCTCTGGCCCGGTTCAGGCATTCCACCTCCACCCACCTTTCACCCTTGAATATTTTCGATCCGGAGTTACATATCCACGCCTTCATCCAGTGCCACTGGTCCTCTCTCATCTACACCAGTAGCCTCTGCGACCAATCAGACATATCCCTCGATTGTCGTTGCGGGACCATCCTCCGCTGGGAGCATCAACCATCGCAATAAAAAATGACCACAACCACAACCACTCCCTCTCACCAACTCGCGCGCCTGATCGGCCCGGCGCTCCTCACCATCTCCATGGCAGAATCCGTCAACGCGCACATCTGGGCTTCCAGCAGTCCGCCGACGATCTTTCTCAACGGCTCCATCATCTTCGTCAGCGGCCTCGCCATCGTGCGGCACCATAACCTCTGGACCACTAGCTGGCCCGTCCTCGTGACGCTGAGCGGCTGGAGCGGCCTGGCCCTCGGATTAACGCGCATGCTCATCCCGGAGAAGGTCCTGGAAAGCGTGAAGAAGGCGCAACCCAGGGACGTCAGGGCCGGGGCCCTAGTCGTAGCTGGTTTCGGAGGGGCGGTCACCTTGTGTGGGTATTTCGCCGCTTAGGTGTACATAGACGCACTGCTGGGTGCCGCCAAGAGGAGAGTCGTACCATCACGAGAGGCACAGGGCTTTGATGTACTTGACGGCTCGCGTGTTGAAGCGAGGTGTTGATTTGTTGACTTGTCGAGTTGGTGGACGCGTCGGGGAGGTCGGGGCGACCGACGAGCATACAATATGTTCAACTTACATACTGCCGCCGTGCATACGTACGTATGAATAGCCGGTGAGTCCCCCAATGTTTACCGACTTGGTTCGAACCCCAAGTGCATTACTTACTGTAGAACACAATAGACCCAAGTTCTCCGTGCAGACGGGGGCGCCATCCCCTGTGATGCAAACAGATCCGATGTCGGGAGACATACATCCTCGTGGTCGTGAATGCATACCATACAGAATCAATTTGTCTCGTCTCCGGACTCATCCGTTGCTTACTCGTCCATTCCAGACGAGATATATCATCCATCCTGGTCCAAGCAGAACAAAGTATCTTTCTCACCGATACGATGCAGAGAGGAACACGAAGTTGCCAGAGGCGAGAATCCGGAGTGCTGCTATTTTTGCAGAAATCGCATGTGGACGGCGCTCGATCTAAGATGGATGTTTACTCCGAGATGGAACAATGCTGCTAATACTTTCTTGGCCTCCGCGAGTAGGAAGAGATCACCCTTCCGATCTGTACTTGGATATATATCGCCAGAGAGTGAAGTGTGACAGAGTATGAGTAACTGCTTGGATGAGACTACGACGAGCAGGATCTATGTCTAAGGCGTCTATTCTAATTTGCCGCCGAATCGGTTGCTGCATAGAGCGTTCCCATCTATCGCCTGGCCAAACGGTCACTCCTTACTGGCATTCTCATTCACATTCGTGGTCCCTTTATCTGCAAACGAGTCCTCAACTTGACTGACTGTGCCGAGGTCGTTGGCGGTCGTCGCGGTCTTCTCCTGCACACGGCCGCCCTTGGTCTCCTCCAGAGCCTGCTGTTCGATTGTCGCTTTCTCTTCCTCGGTTGCCTCGTACCAGTTGTGCGCGACGTGCATGTCGTCGCCGAAGACGTGGCCGATCTCTTCGAGCGTCCGGCCTTTCGTCTCGGGGAAGAGGAAGTACATTATCACGATGTACTGGTGGCAAAGACGGTTAAGGTTAGCATTCATCTCTATGACACAGCCGTTTCGGGGACCGGGGACGAAGTCCGGGTACAACCATATAAGAGTGGGGCCAAAATGTACTCACCACGGCACTCGGGATGATCAACACCAAGTAGAACTTCCAGCCAATTTTGTTCAACGCCACAGGCGCTGCAACAAGGGTGACCTCGCTGGCCAGGTAGAAAGCAGACAGACCCAGTGCCACTCCGGCGGGTCTCAAATGGTTGGGGAAGATCTCGGCCACGTAGACGTACTGTGTGGCGTCGATGAAGAAACACCACCAGAAGATGTAGAACCAGATGAAGAAGACACCGGCGCGGAGACCGGCTTTATTGTCCGTGTTGAGGAAGGAGGCGGTGAGTGCACAGAGGAAGATCACAGATACCACACAGCCGATGGACCCGATGAGCATAAAGCGCCGGCGGCCGAAGCGATCGATGTACAATGCCGTCCAGGTGTTGCCGATCAGGGTGAAGGTCGTCCAGCAGGCATTGAGCAGGAGAGGAATGTCACCGCTTAGCCCGAGGCTTGCATAGATCAAGACACCCTGTAGCAATAGTCAGTTAAGATCTCGTTTGGCTTGAAAGAGAGGTAAGTGCTGACATAGTTTGTCATGACGAAAATTCCCAGGAATTGATCTCCCCACATCAGAATGCAGGCCATCAGAGTGCGTTTTCTGTTCGCAGGAGTAGAGAAGAGCTCTGCAAATTGTCCATGGCGGCCCTGTGACATGCTTGCATCCATCTCGTACTGCTTCTCCATGAGCCAGAACTCGCGTCGGGCGACGACGTGCTCTGTGTCCCCCACCGTTGCATGGAGTCGTTTGACCACGTCGAGGGCCTCTTGGCGTCGTCCTTTGGAGAGAAGCCAACGTGGACTGAAGGGGACAATCTTGCTTCCAGCGAGCAAGATAAGAGGGAAGACGACCTGGAATGCCAAGGGAAATCGCCAGGCAAACTGCGCGGCTGGATCAGTGGCCGACATGTGGAAACAGGCATAACCGAGCCAGCCGGCCAGCATGTAGCCAACCGCGTACATAATGCCGGTGACGCAAACCATAGCTCCTCGAGTTTCTGAGGGAGTCATAGTCAATGGTCAGCGGCCGAGCAAGAAGCAAGGCATGATGATGGCAGCACTTACCTGGTGTTGATACTTCTGCTTGGTAGATTGGAACAACACATGCAAGGACGCCAGAGCCCATGCCGGCAATGAATCGACCGACGAGAAACATTGCCATGTTGACGGCCCCGGCACAGAGAGCGCCGCCAATGATGAGAATGACCGACCCTATCTGCATCGTTCGCTTGCGGCCATATATGTCGGCGGACCAAGCCTGGGAAATGCAACCTGCGATTGCACCGGCCGAGTTGACCCCGTTCAAGGCACCGATCATGTTGGTGGTGTGGTCATAGCCGGGCTCTCCTGCCACGGCGAGATTAAAGTACGAGTAGAAGTTGGGTTGGCCCACGGTCGACCCAATGATGGCAAGGCCATAGGCTGTGGATATCGTGCCTATGGCCACGAAGATGACGACCCATAGGTTGTCTATGAGCGAACGTTAGCTCTTGACGACCGGTACATTGCCTGATTTTGAAAAGACATGACCGCTTGAACAAGGAGGACTCACATTGATTGACGATGATTTTGTGCAACATCCTGGCAAATCACCCAGCAAACAGCTCGGAGACACAACGGTACAAGAGAGCAGGCAAAGCGACAGATGTCAAGCAGGTACCAGAGCCAGGTCGTTTTGTAAGAAGCTCCCTGTGCTTTTCTCCATCTTATCATTGCCCGGGTGATCCATCACCACCATGACGGAATCCCCAACTGCAGGGCGCAAAGCCGAGGGTAAGTGGCCAGTGACCGCACGAATAGGCAGGAGGTTTGTAGATCCATTGTTCGCTCTGACCGCCGCTGACTCAGGAGTAAGGGATTCAGAATCCGAGGAGCAGTTAGTTCCAACAGGGTGGACAGTGGATATCGAACGCTGCGTGCGGGGAAGGCTGTGAGATTTTGGGTCCTGAGATGAGGCATGGTTGCAGGGAAGTAGGCAGTAGCCTCGAGGTTGCGCTCGTCTGATCGACAGGGAGGGCTTTCCAGGTTCTCGGAGAAAGCCTGATCGCGGACAGAGCCCAAGTTGTGCAGCAATTATGACGGGAGAGGCCAGCACATGCTCAGCTTGACATAACAAGAAGCTGCGGCGGCGCGGCTCAAAAGCTTCTCCTGCGCGACAAGGTTCGCTTAGCAGATGGTGGGATGGGTTATTCCCGGCATGGCTGTACACGGCGGTACTCGGCCTCAGACGTCTGCAGAGGAGCCGAAGAGAGGGACGGGGGGGAGCAGAAGAGAAGCCATCGAGCTGATAGAGCGTAGACATTCAACAATACGCCTCAGCCGAAAATGATTGTTACTGCATTGAAATGTGAGGTGAATGTGAGGTCAAAGTGAGGCGGCAATAATTGCAGCGTAAGTCGCGTCACGGCGAGCACACGCGATGCGCCAGTACTGTGACTCGTACTTGAGGTTGAGGCGCAACAGATCTTCTGCGCACGATTACGACTCGTACCTCGTACTCGTACCGTGCAAAGGAAATTCGCTTCATCTCACCAGGGTGATGAAGTCGCTAATCAGCCACAGTAGAGCCCGGCATCCCGGCGTCCCTTCGCCGACTGACTCCAGCGAGGACGAACTTGAGTTGATTTCCCCAACTTCTCCACGGTGGAACTCCATCCCCCGCGCTTCTCCAGAAGCCCAAACCAATGCAGAGTAAGCATGGGTCTCGGTATCTCGAACGTTGACCTCGCTTGTCTCGAAAGCCAACATCTCCGCCGACCGGGAAGTGGCCGGCGTACGATACCGTCTCGCCGTTCTCGCCGTGTGAAGGTTGGCATTGCCAGAGCGAGCTTGTTCACTTCTAGGGTAGGGCAGGTCCTTTTCCAACTCACAGGACCCAAATGCAACCAGTCTGAGATTCTAGGTGTGTGCGTGCCGGACAGTCGAGACAAGAGAACCCAGGTGAACTAGAAAGTCAGGTGAGCCTCAAGCTGTTCTCAGCCACGGGTCGCCACGGGTCGCAACACCATCATGTCTGCCGACCAGAGTCCAATCTACCCAGACCTGCGCGGCAAAGTCGCGTTGGTGACAGGAATCGGCCAAGATGGCCCTGCCGACAATGAGAAGTGGGGTAACGGCGCTGCCATCTCCCTCGCTTTAGCGCGCAACGGCGTCAAAGTGTTCGGCTGCGACATCAACCTGTCGGCGGGCAAGACGACAAAATCGCGGATTGAAGCGCTGGTGCCAGACGCTGTGGTTGACGTGGTCACCGCGGACGTTACCCAATCATCAGATGTCGAGCAGTTTGTAAAGGACTGCATGACCAAGCACGGGCGTGTCGACATCCTTGTCAACAACGTCGGGCGCAGCGAACGAGGCGGCCCCGCCGAGATGAGCGAGCAGGTCTGGGATTCACAGGTCAGCCTCAACCTGAAAAGCGTGTACCTGACGAGTCATTTCGTTCTTCCCATCATGGAGTCCCAGGGGTCCGGCGCCGTCGTCAGCATCTCCAGTGTTGTGTCGACGCGATATGCCGGGAAACCGCAGGTCGCGTACGCGGCGACAAAAGCCGCGGTCACGCAGTTCACCAAGCATACGGCCGTCATATACGCGAAGAAGGGTGTGAGGTTGAACGCCGTGCTGCCGGGCCTGATGTTCACGCCGCTGGTGCAGACCCTGGCGCACAAGTACGCCGACGGAGATTACGAGGGCATGGTGCAGACGAGACACAATCAGGTGCCCACGGGCCAGATGGGGACTTCCACGGATGTGGCCAACGCGGTGGTCTTCCTGTCGAGTAATTCTGCCGCCGGGTATATTACTGGGCAGAAACTAGTGGTCGATGGAGGCATAACCTCGAGTACAGGCAGGACTTGAAGCCAGCGACTCAAGCAAGCAAGCTTGACTTGTCGGTTTCCCCCATCTTAGGCAAATGTCTAGCCCCTGGTGTCGAGGCCGTGAAGATACCGTACATTGTACGTGCTGGGCAGACCTTCTCCACCTCTGCCCAGTGTAGCTCGTGCGCCTGTGTAGATCAGGGTCCCAGTTCGTCAGCGAGCTCACGCGAGAAGCACGCAGCCGGTGCGATATGGTGTCGAGAACGATGTTGCCTTGAAGATTCCAGAGCATTCACCTAGCGCTGCGCTCTATGCCGAAGATAGCAAACGGGTGATTTGAAGATGTAATGGCAGGAATCGAATCATTGTACTGCCATCTCTGCCTACCTACTCCGGGCGCCATCTGCGGTCACACTCCCTGTAGGCGACCGGCAATTAGAACCTCAAATCCCAGCCAATGCCAGGGCCTAACCTGGGCAGCTCATCCGCAACGCTCTGGACATCCTTATCACCACGTCCGCTCAAACAAATCACCAGGGTCTGATCCTTCTGCATCTCCTTCGCAACCTGCATGGCTCCCCAGATTGCATGACTTGATTCGAGGGCGGGAATGATGCCCTCCGCTTCGCTGAGAGTCCGGAATCCAATCATGGCTTCCGAATCCGTGGCGCTGATGAACCTGGCTCTTGAGCTGTCCTTCCAATTCGACAGCTCGGGTCCTACACCGGGGTAATCCAGACCGGCGGAGATGGAGTGTGTATCGCTGATCTGCCCGTGCTCGTTTTGCAGGACATAGGTTCTCACGCCGTGCAGCACACCTATCGATCCGCCCGTAAGGGTGGCAGAGTGTTTGCCTGTGTTCACACCTTCGCCCGCTGCTTCCACCCCGATCAACTTGACAGACGGATCCGAGCTGAATGGGAAGAACATGCCCACCGCGTTACTGCCACCGCCGACGCAGGCAATCACGGCATCTGGCAATCTGCCTGTGAGTTCTTTCATCCCCTCCTTTGTCTCCTGGCCAATAACGCTCTGGAAGGTGCGCACAATGGTAGGGAAAGGATGAGGTCCGATGGCAGAACCGATGATATAGTGGGTCGTATCGAGATCCACGACCCAGGCTCGGAGTGCTTCGTTGACAGCATCTCGGAGCGTGCGCGATCCAGCTTCGACTGCTACGACCTTTGCGCCCAGAAGCTTCATGCGGAAGACGTTCAAGGCTTGCCGTCGCACATCTTCAGCGCCCATGTACACCACGCAATCCATGCCGAACTTGGCGCAAACAGTCGCCGTCGCCACACCGTGCTGGCCTGCACCGGTCTCGGCAATGATCCGTGTCTTGCCCAGTCGCTTGGCGATCAAAATCTGGCCCAGAGCGTTGTTGATCTTGTGACTTCCGGTGTGGTTCAGATCCTCTCGCTTCAGGTAGATCTGAGCACCACCAACCTTTTCGGTCAGTCGTTCGGCCAAGTGCAATGATGAAGGCCGGCCCATGTACGGGTAGTGTGAGCGGTACTCTTTCCAGAATTCAGGATCATTCTTGGCCGAGTTGAAGCCCTCTTCGAGCTCGGCTAAGCAGTCCATCAACGATTCAGGGACATATTGGCCGCCAAATTGGCCAAACTGAGCAGGAATAGCCTCTGGCTTGGGAGTCGTGCCATTGGTGGCCGAGTTGAGGGCATCGAGCTGATCTGCAAGGCCTGGCTCTGAGGGGACGTCGGCGTCGGTGATCACCTTGTCGACTTGGACTTGATGACCATTGATGCCGTTTACCGACGCATTGGGCTCCTTTGCCGAGTTCATTGTCTCGACGATGCCGACCTCTCTCGTCAGACCGTTAGTGTTGTTGAATTCGCCCACTTTTCTGCCCGTGATTTCCGAGCAGTACTCCTGCACAGCCTTCGCTCGCTCGCCTTCCTTTGCGTTGCCCAGTACTGTGACAATCTGGCTCCCGATCACCACACCCTCGGCAATCTGCGAGACGCTGAGGAAGTGTTCCCTGGTGCTCACGCCGAAGCCGACAGCTGCAGCAACCCCGCCCGAGTACTGGTGAACCCTCTCCAGTAGCTCTGGTAGCTTGGTGTTGAGGGTGCCCGTGGCGCCCGTGACGCCCATTCTCGACACCACATAGATGAATGAGTCGGCAATTGAGCACAGCAGCTTCATCCTCTTCTCTGACGTGGCAGGTGCAATCAACGGCACATACGACAGCCCCTGCTTTGTGCAGTTGTTCCTGAACCTGACTGCCTCCTCGGGCGGTAAATCAACCATTATGAACCCATTGACGCCCGCCTCTTTGCAGTCCTTGAGCATGCGGTCTTCGCCGTAGCGGAGCAAAGGGTTATAATATCCCATGAACAAGACTGGAATTTTCAGTCCCCGCTTTCGAGCATCGCGAACGAAATCTAGGGACTTGGACACAGTGATGCCATTGGCGAGTGCCACGGTATTCGACTTCTGGATGGTAGGCCCGTCGGCGATGGGGTCAGTGAAGGGTAGCCCCAGCTCGATGATATCTAAAAGAAAGTCAGGACTGATTCAGGGCTGCTCGTTGGGAGAGAGGGTGTGCTCACCAACACCGCCTGCCTGCAACCCCAGCATGATATCAGGTGTTTCTGCAGCAGTAGGGTACCCCGCCGTGAAGTAGCCTACGAGGGCAGTCCGGCCCTCCTGCTTGCATTTGTCGAACGATTGTTTTATCGCAGCCGCCATGTTGAGAGATCTTTGAGAGGGATGAGAGTGGCGGGCGGAGAGGCAGCGAAGAGGGCGAAGGAGAGGAGACTATGTACTCAGATGTGAGTCACCTCTTACGCACGCTGGGGGATTCTATGGTGCTGATATTGAGATATCAGATTTGTGCTTGTAAGAATCGACTGTGTACGAGTAATGGAGTACACAGCGGCCGCACCCCTTCGCGGCATGGAAATTTTGCCGCCACCCGATCAAGCACCGACGGTGCATGAGCCTCTGTGCCGAATCCAGAATTAAGGGAGCTTCGTCCCTGCATAAGCCCAGGGATCACGGTGGGCTAAACAGACACCCCACCGAAGTCGGCCCGCCACTTTTTCAGCCTCGCCGACTTTCTCCCCGCATGGCAGCGGCTACTGCACTCAAATGTGATAAACCAACATCCGCCCCGTACGCTGTACTCAGCGGGAAGCTCCCAGAAAACAGAAAATGCTGAAGCGAGTGACCTGACGCATTGTAGGCGTGCTCAAGCAAAGCGGGAGTGGCCCTGGAACACATAGCACAAGCATGCAAGTGATATCTGCATCCATCTCATTCTAAGACTTCCCCTTCCTTACCCTCACTCCCGTCTCTCTCACCAATACTCATGATATCGTGCAGGCACTGCAGCCACTTCAGTTCTCCATCCACGTGCTCTTGCCGCCACCAGTACTTGACCTTGATCAATCGGCCCGCGCTGTCACTGCCGCCGTTGTCGTTGTCCTCCCAGAGATCGACTCTCATGCCGACCCATTTCTCGGTCTGTCTCAGCTCGTTGAGCTGCGACGGTGTCATGCCCAGTGGCGCGACGACATCTTCGGGAAGCACCTCCGATTCTTCGGTAGCGTTCAATGGGCGAATGCTGTAGTAGCTCTTCCCTGTGAGCGCCTTGACCTTGACGGGAGCCGAACGCCTTTCCTCATCATCCGGGGCTTCGGCACCCCTAGACTCTGCTGTGGCAGAGGATGATTGCGCACGCTCATAACTTTCGACGTCTTGAAAACCAGCGGCCTCCAGGAGATACTGGATGATAGTGTCTCGCTTAACTGCGGCATAGCTGGGGATGGTGCGGCATACTTGCATGCATGTTGGACTGAAGAAGCTGGCTTTGGAAGGGATGTGCTGGGTGTGGCGATAGGTGTGGTAGAGGTGTTTGAGTTGGGCATGAACTGCTTCTGAACCGGTTGTGGAGACGGACGCCATCTTGCTGATGAGTGAAATACGGCCACAGGCACGATGGGAGCCTTAAGAGGTTTCCGGCGTGCTGGTGACTGAGGACAGGTGTCCCGTCGTCTCTCTTCCTGTACCACTGTAAGGAAACGTGGCCGTAGAGCCGAATCAGGAACGGGTACTCCGTACTTTTGATTCATCGGTAATCGAAAACACCGTGAACACCGGAAACACGCAGGTCCAGGGAGCTTATCAATTGTGTTCGGTATGCGTACTCCGTACTAATGGACAACATGCCCATCTCACGGTCCGCTTCATATTAGAGTGATGATCCCGCGCAATATCTAGCTCGACCTGCGGCTTTCATCCTGACACCACACCATTGCCTTTGCCTTTCTTCTTTCATGTCGTTGTATGTTCGATGAGGACGTGCGCTGACCTCTTCATAACAGATTCTACATACCCTTCGTTCTCGGAGATCCCAGGACTTGCGAAGTATTTCTTGATTGCCGGGAGAGCTGTCCCTCGAGCCTTGCGGTGTCTCCTACCACCGCCCAGTCACGGGGGTTTTCAGGCAGCACATCTGTCATCTGGTGCTCGTCCTGCTCGCTGGGAAATACACTTTTGGGACTTGGTGGACTTGATCTCCCGTTGACCGAACCAACCATTGTGACGAGTGACGGCCTCAACGCTCGGTGAGGGTGCTGCTAACCAGGACGAGAGGCAATAGGCGAAAGCTACCAATGAAGCCACGTGTCTGTCAAGTTCGCTAACGCCCATTTGCCGAGAGGGCGTGCAGATATCTACGGTACGTTGGCGTGGAAGAATTGCAGAGAGTCATTGCAGACTGACTCGTCGTCGATGCAGATCTGCAAGCTCATGCTTCCAGACCCCCGGGCTCTCTCCGTGCGCCACGACACAATACTCATTCTCGCAAATCGATCGCGGCTCGCCTCTCTGGAACGCTCAGCGAGTCGCCTCAGGGCCCAGGATGTGATGTCCTCGGCTCTGTTCTGTGGGTGTCAGTTTGGTAAGACTGCTCCTTCTCACCTCACCTCACCTCACCTCACCTGTTCCCGGCTGAAGGACTGCGCAATGTGACCGGCGATTGCCCTCGCGGAAACCACGACTGTGGACAGACTCAGGACTAGCATACGAGCTATCTCCCCGCAAAGTCAAAAGCTTCCCCTAGGTCGCTCCGCCTTTCTTAGCATTCGCCTAACGGCTGCTTCTCGCCGCAGCTCGAAATCTAGAACTTCTGGCAACTGAATGCGAGACAACAGAAGTTTCTACGACGGATAGCCTGACAGGACCGTTACTTCCGTGTCTATGAGAAGCTGCCAATCGAATCAGTCTCCGACGCCGCATCAGAACAACTCAGACCAACTGAAGATGCCTGGACTCGACGGCTTCCGATGATCTGGATCTTTCCCCTGACTGTGGAGAAAGTTCAACTAAAGACAGCGGCGGAAATGATCGAACCAACCGCCTGCCGTTAATCAGTCCCTGACAGAAATCTGCTACTTGATGGAATGCTAAAAAAACAAGAAAGGCCGCCAACCGCGGCATCCAGTCGGCTGCAGGCTGCCTGGATCTAGCGATAGCCGAGGGAGTAGTTGGATGGAATGAAGATGTTGAATCATGGTACTCCGTATAGTACTTAGCTACCTGTCTCCTCTTCTCTTCGAGGAGGCTCTCTCATCTCGAGCTCACCCATCTCGAGCCTCAAACACGCTGTCCCTGGACCGACTTGTCTACTGAGTAACACGAGCCAACATGGCCTTCGGCACTGAAAGACACTGGAGCGGATGGAACTTTTTTATTTGTTTCCTGGTCTCTCTTGGCCAGATAGCTTTCGGCTATCCAGCTTCCATCATCGGTGTCACGCTCGCACAGCCATCTTTCCTGACCTATATGGGCCTACTCGATGTCACCCAGGATCCGCCCGTGATGACTCCAGGGGCTGACCAAAAAATCGGAGCAATGTCAGGAGTGTTTCAAGCCGGCGCTGCCATCAATGTCTTCATCGCCGGCTGGGTGGCGGACCGATGGGGCCGCAAGGCCGCCTTCTACTGGTGCGGATTGCTCTCATTGCTCGGTGGTGCAATGCTCTGCGGTGCGAGGAACGCAACAATGTTCATCATTGCTCGACTTTTCGCTGGTGGTGGAAGTTGGGGATATCTTGCCGTCAGTATGTCGATCATGGTTGATCCTCCCAGATTTTCAGTTCCTGACAATGACAGCACCCTTTTATTCAGCGGAGCTGGCACCTCCAGGTCTCCGGGGTTTGATGGTCGGCATGAATGGTGTCAACATCGCGTTGGGCTATGGCCTCGCTTCCTATATGGGCCTCGCATTCTACTACATTGAGGATCCCCAGACGCAGTGGCGAGGGCCCTTGGGAATTGCACTCATCTGGCCTTTCATGATGATGCTTGTGTGCTTTATCATTCCAGAGTCACCTCGGTACCTTCTCATGAAGGGCAAGGTTGAGCAGGCAAAAGAGGTTGTCTTCAAGCTGCATGCTTCCAAGAATGACCCCGACCAGGAATTCGCCCGTGGAGAATTCTATCAGATGTCGAAACAAGCCGAACTGGACAGGACCATGGAGCCGGGCTGGATCGAGATGTTCCGACGGCCTAGCTATCGCAAGCGAACCATTATGGCCATGGGTTTTGCATTCATTGGCCAATCGACGGGCGTGCTGGTCCTCAACAATTACGGTAAGTTCATTATCGAGCGACACTCCGATGGCGCCCCGGTACCTGGTTCATGTCAGAGTACGGCGTGGCCCAGCCGACCATGGGTGTCCAACCGCATTCCCGATCTCCTTCACAAATGACAGTCCACCACTAACATCCTTCAGGTCCGACCATATACGCGGCTCTGGGTTACAACACCTTGTATCAGCTGATCTTCCAATGTGGCTGGATCACTGTCGGCATTATCGGCAACCTCATCGGAGCTCTCATCATGGATTGGACCGGCCGCAAACCTCTCCTTGTCCTCGGTGTCGGAGGCTGTTGCGTCAGCCTCATCCTCGAAGCGGCGATGGTCAGCTCCTTTGCGGAAGAAGGCACCAACAAGGCTGGCCTCCGCATGGGTGTGGCGGCTGCGTACCTTTTCCTGCTGGTGTACAGCATCGGTGTCGACGTCGCCGGCGTGGTCTTCTATTCCGAGCTTTTCCCCAATCACCTCAGGGCGAAGGGCCTGTCTCTGAGTATCGCGGTCATCGCACTGACAGACTTGGTATACCTACAAGTTGCCGCCACGGTAGAAACCCCCCCCCTTTTTTTGGATGGGAACAAACGCTAACAGATCGCTTGACAGGCTTTTGCCAATATCGGCTGGAAATTCTACCTTGTCTTCATCATCATCTCCGGCCTCGGGACATTCTTTACATACTTCTACCTTCCTGAGACCAAGAACATCCCACTCGAAGAGATGGCAAAATTATTCGGAGATGAAGTGGCGGTCTATGCAGAAGATCTCCATGTGGATCACCGTACCCACGAGCTCATTGTCGACGAGCATGGTCATCATGGAGCCGAGGTGCATCGGGTTGCTACCGAGGCCGCTGTGCCCAGGACCTCCCAAAGCGCAGACGTCGAGAAGGGCGCGGCGGCCCATGGAACCACGGTTGAGCATGTTGATGCCGTGAAGGCCGAGGGAAAATGATGTCCAAAATGAACATCGTGCCGAGTCTATGGCGACAAGTCAGTTGGGGGCTAGACGTGTGGAAACTGTGGTGACTTACCAGTCGCAAGGCGGAGATAAAGGGGGGGGAGACACAGGGCACGTTATATGCCACTTATTGCTTTGCATCTGGCCGTCCTCTACGCCTCTTCTACGACAGCATTTGACAGCTACTGTATCTGATGTAGACGAGAGAACAGTTAGTCAAGAACAGCCGTCGGTGTATCAACTTCTTCCCCCAATTCCTGGCCGGCTGGCACGAAACAATCCGACAGAGCCGTCATTGTCCAGTGAGCCCAGTCCAATCCAGTCACAATGTCGTGGTTCCAGTCGTGGCTCCATTCGCCCAGCCTAGATCTACCTCCAGGTGTCGATACGCCAGTTACATGTCAAGGCAGCTGTAAGGTTGGCACTCGGTTATCGACGAAGACAACGCGAGCTGGAATCGACAAAGACAATCCGAGCTGGAAGTCTGGTGTGAACGACAAGGGTAATCAAATACAGGACTTCGATCGTTTCATCAGATCCTCCATATCTTGTAGAGTCTGAATGTGCGCCAATTGGGGTTTGACCACGCCAACCTCCTGCCCGTTGTCCTGCTCGTTCTTCAAGACACCCGACTCGACATCCGTATCTGCCAACACAATCTCCTCGATCACACTGTCGAGCTTCTTGGCCTTCTTCCTCCTCTCCCAGACTTCCATGCCCTTGTTGATCAAGGCCGCGATGAGCACCAACATTGAATTCACAATGGGACCCCACTGCCCGATGGCAATGTTCGCCTCGTTGGTCGGGTACCCGCCCTCCAGCAGCGTGACCTCGTTGAAGACAATATTGATCACCATCAACGGTAAGCACAGGATATCAATGATCAATCCCATCAACAACCAGGGCAGGAGGAAGCAGCAGATCAACCACTTTTTGTACGTCCACCGCGACCGCCGCACGTATCCTAACAAGGCGAAATACCCGCCGTACCACTTCTCCATGCTCGCCTTGTAGACCGTCTTTGCGAACTGCTCCCGATGGCCCGGATGGATCATGTAACTCATGACGATTTTCACACAGGCCTGCGACGGCGTGTGTCCCTGAGCGTCGATGCTCATCGCTGCGTAGGCGGCGAACTGAATCGGTCCCACCAAAACATAGGTGAGCGTCTTGTATCGTGAATCGTCCAACACGCGTTGGGGAACGGCCAGAATCTCCGACATTTCCCTCATCGGCTTCGTCACGTCAAAGCACTTGTACGTGCAGTTGAAGCCCGGGTCGATCAGCTGCATCCGGGACTCCAACAACATCCCCGTCGAGGAGTAGCAGGCCGGTTCGGGTGGCGTCAAATTCGTGTCGAACAACTCGGCCCGTCCAAACACCAGGCCGATCCCGACCAAAACACCCCAGCAGATCATCACAACCCTCGCTCGCGAGTCTCTCAAGGTCGAACTCCAATGGATGATCCCGATATAGGCCAGGGCGCCGGTGGAGAGAACCGCCCAAGCAGCCATAATGTCGAGATCAAAGACGTCTACTTTGGATGTCACGAGAGCCATGATGTGGATTGATGCCGTTCCTGCATAGGTGAGTGCGCTGACCAGGGCGCCAATGACGAGCCATTCTGACCGACGGCCGAAGATGGCAAAGACAAGGGTCACATAGTAGAGAATCCGCGGTAGAAGACCGTAGGTACCGGAGATCGCATACACGCAGTTGATGTGTGTGACCGGGGGTCCGCTCGGATTACTGAAGGGCGTCAAGTTATTGCTTGACATGGTTCTGGACGTTCAGGGAGGTGAATAATTCGGTTTTGCATTTGCTGCTGTTGTCTTTCAACCCTCATCAGAGCCGAACCAGCTGGAGTCGCGGTCTTCTGGATACGTTCCAAGGCCCACGGAGGTATCGACGCGAACTCTCTCAAGTAGCAGGCCGCGAAGGCCTCATGTTCCGTTCGTCGCGCTCTTGCAGACTATGTCACGGGCAGTGATGGGAAGAGGAGCAAGAACGTCGCATGACGATCGTCCAAGATAGCTTCAAGCGAAGAGCGTGACGAATGTCTTGGAGTCTCAAGGTTGCATTTGCTACCAACCAAGAAGCATGAAATACGAGTACGAGCAGCATTCTGCGGCTTCGGCCTTCGGAAAGATATTCATCCGGACAAGATACCCCACTATGGTGGAGCACTAGGTCGTCTGCAGTTGTCTGTTGAAATACTCCCCCGGAATTTTCATCTGCTCCGAGACATGTCAGCGGCTGCTCACGAGGTATCCCCATGGACTTGCGCTCTGTCGTCCCTACGCCGGCGTGACGCGAAACTACTTGACCAAGGGTGTCTGGTCTTAAGCCATAGCGACAAGCAATATCCCACCATGATTTGACGGGCTTTTGCCGCCGGTGCGACGCCATGTTCTCTACCAAGGAGGATGATTCACCACCACCCAAACGACGTGGATAAGCGGGGGAGCCTCTGGCGACAGAAAGCTTCGCGGTCTCCCTGATCAAGCCGTCAACGGCAGGACCGTCGACGTCGTCGTCGTCGTCGTCGAGGTCGGGATTTGGCAGCGTAACAGCAGTTCTGACGGCTGTCTGCGCGAACTGGGCGAGCGAGTGGCTCTCGTCGATAAACGCCCTTAGCTAGATACCTGAGGCAGGAATGGAAGCGTGGAAGTCAACCTTCGCCCACGCAGTGTGACGGTGACGGTGACGGGCCCGCTTGTCGACGAGCTCTTCGGCCCGCCATCCCAACGGCGACCTCGAAGCAAAAGGGCACTCCTCGACGCGGAGCCTAAAGCCACTGCTCTTCAGGGAGTTACACGGTCCATGACGCTACTACGACGAAAAGATGACCACAACAACAACAAGAACCAGCGCTCTAACATTCGCAATCACGTCCGTTGACGCGCGATACGCGCGTACAGGTCGTGAAATCCGCCTCCATGCCCTCGTGGGCAATGTGTCAGAGATACATCTATTGTTGCGGATAGGTTGCTAACTCCAACATTATCTCAGCCCGTAGGCGCTGATGCTCTGACGCCGCGAGATGTGCCTCGTTGTAAACTGTGATATGTGATTTAGTCCATGATCGTGTCCGAGGACCTGGAATGTGATCTCTGATCTCTGATCCCTCATAACCTATTCCTCAGCCCATTATTATATCCCTCCATACAGGTCCCGGGTCCGGCGCTCTATCCAGACTGTCTGTCAAAATCCGTCCCAAACCTTCGCGGTAGTAAACTCCATCTTTCTGAGAAACCAGCAAGACATTATAAACGCCGTAATCTCTCTTTCTCACGACTTCCTCAACGTCATCGGGGAGGGTCCCTTCCCAATTTACAAGTTCATCATCTGTGAATCGGCTGACTCGTGACATGACCAGGAACTCCAGCGGTTGGCCCACGCGGGGCATCCACGCTTCGTCCAGGTCGATGGTGCCGCACCAGAGGTCGTTGCGGTCTGCGATACCCGCGCGGATCAGGCCTGGGTCAGCCGGCGCCGGGCGGACCGTCGACAAGGCGCTCGGCCCTGTGAGTCTCTTCCTCAAGGGCGAGATGACGGATTTGTGGATCAGTGAAGGAGCGATGAGTCTTAATTGCACGACCACTGTCCGGAAGTGTAATAACGGAAGCGAGGTGCCGAGTCTGTGGTTGGACATCGGTTTGAGGGTTTCAGGTCGCGGTATGGGCGGTGGGATCCGTTCGTAGGCTTGTTCGGGAAATCGATGGATGTCGCTTGCTATGTCCGCGTGCCATTCGATCCACGAACGAGCCACTTCGGTGTACTTCCATTGGATTTCTCCGATCCAGCCGGACCATGACCAGCTGGGGAATCCTGGCCGACGATGTAGCCTCTTGGTCGACTCCCAGAGTATTGACGGGTCCATCATCGTCTCCAAGGCGCCGTAGTAGACGCGATCGCCTATCCGCTTTTCCAACACCAGCTGCATACCTTCAAAAGCATTCAGGATGTCATTGGCATTCGTCAGTTCGCGTCGTGTGTATAGTTCCACGGCCGAAGTGAACTGCACAAAAGGTTTCTCACGAAAGATCCGGGTCGGCATGTCAATCGAATCCAGCGACCAGCCGTTGACGGGCGGGATTTCAATGTCCTCGCAGTACGTCGTCCGTCGACATTGGTAGTATATCCGTCCATTCACAAAAAGGAGGACTCGCCGGGAGAGCATGCGTTCCTGAAAGGTCCATGCCCGCGAATCCCACTGTGATGTAGAGATGTAATCTGGGGGCGTTAGCGACGGTGACGGAGTTAATCAGAGAACAACATACCTTCAGCAAGATGCGACACCATCAGTCGCAGGCCAGGCTTCACCTGCTCGATTTCTTGATGGAAAGTACGAGACTCTTTCCTTACGCCAGGCAGACCTGCGTTGGCATCCTTTCCCGAGCCAGCCACCACGGTGAGAGCAGCTCTGGCATAGACCCAGTCGTCATGATACTGAAAGCCATCGTCATGCAATAGGGCCAAACTATCCGTCCACAGGTATTTCTCGCCCAGCATTTTCGTCAGCTTGATGGTGTCCTTGATCGTTCGCGGGATCTTTTCCTTCTCGAGGGCACCCGGTTGTGACAGTTTCGGGAGATTCTTGGATGTGGTGAAGAGCTGGTTGAAATTCTTTCCCCATAGATAACTCAGCGCAACATATCTTGCTGTTATCGGCGTTTCGACAATGCACATGTTGTCGACGTCAATGGCGCGGAAGACGTCCTTCGGTTCTCCCAGCAACTCCGGATGTACCAACGACTCTTCACACTCCATCCCATGTGTTGTCTCGCAGTCGTGTAGCCATTGCCGCAGCTGGTGGGGATCCAGCAGGTCGGGGGATGTGATTCTGCGTCCCAGGAACTCGCGTGTGGGAGCATCGTCTGCCAAAAGGACGATATATCCATCTTTGAATGCCTGGGGGTCGCTGTATATCAGAAGCCGTCTTGTCTTTGGCTTGAATATATGTTCGCCCGGCCGGTCAGGATCGGGCCCGAGGTCTTCCTGTCCATCCACTACCCATCGTGCATAGCAGAGCGGGTCATCGTCGGCATGCAGACTGGGGTTGCGTTGGTCTGAGGGGCGGTCTGCGATTTCAAGGACTAATCGACAGAACGGACAGTGAGTCCTCGTTCGGATCTGTGAGAGTCTTCCCAAGTACCGGAATTTATGGGATCGTTCGAACTCGTGGTCCTTCTCGTCTGGTTGAACCAAGAAAGACTCAAGTCTGAGATCGATGCGCAGGCACGTGTCGCAAAGGTAGGATTCCTCCGGCGTGGACTGGTCGATCTGGTCTCCTGGTCAGCAAATGTTTCGTATCGTCTGTGGGGAGCACCCACCCCGGCTTTAATCCAGCTGGCCGGCAGTCGACCCAGACTTCTGAACTTCTTGGTGATGTGTAGTATGGCAGCTGAGGACGACGAAGACGAAGAACCCTCCACGGGCTCAGGGGTCGACATCTGCGTGCATTTGTCTTCAGATTGCGGTTCTAGCGGGGATCTCGAAGGTGATTGAGATGGGGAAATCGAGAGAGACAGCGCTGGCGCCCGGTGTTGTCTGTGGCCTGCAGGTGAGGCTGCATCCCTCATAGGGCGGGGCGGGGACAGCGACATCAGTCTTGCCCGTAGTCGATTGGCACGATCGTCTTGACGGGGGAATGGGGATTGCTATTGCATGCACAGATCGAAGTTTTCCCAGATATAGTAGTGTGTAGCAAACAGGCGAGGCTTCAGATCACTGCTACGCTGAATTCCCGCAGCGTCAGTGGTTTTGCAAACAGAACTGGCTTCGAGCCCACCCCACATTCCTCCCTTTTACTCCGTGCTGGGTACTCCGTACACTTGCCCAAATCCCTGGGTAAGTGGCGCCGACGGGACTTGTTGCAGGCTAGCTGAGGCTGATTTGAAACACCTTAACGGGCTAGAGTTGGTGCTTGCTCTGGTGGCATCATTGGTCCAGAGCCCGGGCGATCCTGACGCCTATCACCGGGCGCCGTGCCTCTGACTGGGGCCGTTTGGGCCCATAAGGCCGCCCATTCGCCGCCCGCAATATCAAGGCCCCGTTAGCCGAGTCCACCCCTATCGCGACACTTGCGGCAGCTACGCGTCGGCCCTTTCAGCTTCAGGCAGGTCTTGCCGTAGCCGGGAAAGATGGCGTTCTCCACATTAAGTTAAGTACTTGGTATAACCAGCAATGCTCGCGTCATGCGTGTCTATTGAGAGTCGACACGTCCACGGCTGCCACCAATCTACATCCTTCCGGAACATGGCCGAAGCTATCTGTCGGTTCGGTAGAATATTCAACAGCGACTGGGCAATTGCAACTCGTCGTATCGGATCTTCACGGGCGTCACCGCAACGACTGCCGGATATGCTGCTCACCAGCGTCAAATCAAGGTGAAAGCCTCAGGGTCAGCAGAGCGTCTCGCAGAGATGCTCCGGAAGCTCGCGGCGCAGACGTGGGTGCAGCTGAAAGACGAAACTGTAGAAGCGGATGAGCCCATGGCCGTATCTGCGACGAACGCCGCCACCCAGCTATGTACCTCAGAAGAATTCTAGGAGACTTGAAAGACTTCAAAGCCTGCCAAGCAACGAAATAACCCAACTCAATCCTTTTTATACAGCCTAGTCTCAAGATCTCTGAAGCCCAAGGGCATCGCGCTTCGGACGCCCGTCCTGATTTTCCGTTTCCTTCCCACTGTTTATTGCCCTTGCTGCTCCTTCTTCTCCTCCGCTTGTTCTTGCGTCAAGATCTTCACCGCCTCCTTGTTTCCAATATAACTCAGGCCGCTCCAGATGGTCGTCCCACCCACAAGATAGTACCACCCCTCCATCACGCCCCAGAGATTCCATGCGTCGACCAACCCCACAGGCAACACGGGCAACAACATTGCATTTCCGACAAGCAACAACTGTAGAAACGTGTTGATCTTCGAGATTTCAGTGGGATGAACCTCCGCGCTCGGCAAACTAAAGTCCCAATACCTTGCCATCGTCTTCGGTGGCGGCAAGCTAATCCATCGGAAGTAAATCGCAGATATCGCCAATGCAACGTCCCTGCCCAAAACTATCACCGCGAGCCAGATCGGAAGGGTCCCATTGAGCGTGAGGGTGACGACGCACGTGGTCATCAGGATTTTGTCAGCCATGGGGTCAATGACTGTCCCTACGACGGTCTGTTGGTGGAAGCGTCGTGCGAGGTAGCCGTCGATGAGGTCCGTAATTCCCGCGTAAGCGAAAAGGCAGACGGCCGGGACTGGATTGTGAGTGAGGACGAAATAGCCGACCAAAGGGGCCGCGACGAGGCGAGTGAAGGTTAAAGCGTTGGGAAGAGTATAGATGTTTTCGTGGACTTGCGGGAGCAGGCGTTTGGGAAGCAGGGTCCGTGGGGCGGATGGCGTCGAAGAGCTGGTCAGGACGTCAGTGAACACTCGTCGTTGAAGTATACTGGACGACAGGTACAATATCCAGCACCGTCTTCGCTTCGATGCCGTCACCCTCAGGTTGTGCATCGGCTGGTACTTTGACCAAGCGCCAAAGTATTGCACCGTAAGCCAGACACAACAACGCCGTGGGTGCTACGGATCGAAGCCAGTGGAGATAAATCTTTTTCAGGGCTGGCCTGAAGAACATTGCTCATACCTGCTTGTCTCCCTTCCTGCTTCATCCTTCGAAACCTCATCCTTTCCTTGCAGCCGGTGTACTGTCCTTGAAAATCTCCGCGCCTGTAGACACAGGGCGTTCAGAGTACATCGTGTGTGTGAGCCCAGCGTACTTTGTAATGGCCTGGTGTGCGACCAGATCCTTGTTTGGCTAAAGGCTTGCTGTTTCGAATGTGGAAGCCGAGTTGACAGCGACCGACCGGCTCCGCAAGATGTTGATAAACATCCCAAACCCTGACTGTAGCCTCGCTGAGTGAGTATGGCAAGGCCGGACCTTGGTCGAACTTTTGTCCCCATCCCTGCTGGACGGGCTGATAATGTCATGATGCCGGTGTCGATACCGACATTGTGCCTCGCCAATAAAGTCATGCAGTTCAAAAAAACAAACCCGTTCCCGTGTGACGCGACCAGAAGTGTCCGTGGAACAAAGTTAGGCGTTCTAAGCTATTTTTGACAGTAACCCACCTCCGATGCGTGCGACTCGGAGGCTCTTTGCAGGTTGGATAGATGACGACCAAAGGAATGGCGTTGGCTGGCAGAGGGAATGACAGCAGACCTCGACGCGTGAGGTCCAAGTCCAAGTTCTCACAACCGACGGATGACTAAGCAGCGACCGCCCAGCAGCTGGTCCGCGACATGGAGAGCAGGCACAGGCAATTTTAGCACGACTGACATGACTGTCCAAAGGCGTACTCGGCGTGTTACGGCACTCTTGGGGCGGAAGTGATTGTGATACAGATAGATATTGTACAGAGCGATACAATCACTGCACATGGGAGACCACACCGCCATGCAACCATTGTAAATCCGACAATCACCCCATCCCTGTTTGTAGAGTGCGAGGTGTATGTCATGCCGAAGCATCGACTTGACCCAGGACGGCGTTGTCTTCGAGCACCATCTCTTCCGCTGACAGTTTGCGACTATTCTTCTTTGCGAATCTCAACAGCCTCAAGGCTCCATGCGGCGTCACGCCTTCCACGCGTCTCGCCATGCCTACGCTTGCGGGCCTGACCAGCTTCAAGACTTCCCTTTCGCCAATGCTCAGCCCGAACACTGAGTCATAATCCAGGTCTGCAGGTAGAGCCAGTGATTCGTCCCTCGCGAATGCCTCTGCCGCCTTCTGTTGCAAGGAGATGTAAGGCGCATAAATACTCTCGATCGATACTCTGTTTTTGATCTTGGGCTCGTAGTTGTCGATGTCCGGCAATGTTTGAACCTTTTCAGCAAGGCTGCTTATATCGACGCCAGATACTCTGAGCATATCAAATGCACTACGCCGGTTCGAGTCGATACGTGACGGAAAGCCCATCTTAACCCATTCGGTGCTCGGATAGCGCACTTCTTCGAGCTTGCGTTGAAGTTCGGCCATCTGGCCTCGAGTCTCGCAGAAGTGAGCCCACCGCTTATCGCTCACCACGCCAGCCTCGCGGCCTTTTTCGGTCAAACGTAGGTCTGCGTTGTCGGCGCGACAGCTCATGCGGTATTCGCTCCGAGCCGTAAACATCCTGTAGGGCTCACTTACGCCCTTCGTGATGAGGTCGTCAATGAGAATGCCGATGAATGCTTCTGCACGAGAAAGCGTGAACGGCTCTTTGCCCTGTGCGGATAGACCTGCATTGATACCAGCAATAATCCCTTGTGCTGCGGCTTCTTCGTAGCCGGTGGTGCCGTTGATCTGGCCCGCCATGAACAGCCCTTTGATGAGCTTGGTTTCGAGGGTAGGAAACAGGTTGCGAGGGTCGATGTAGTCGTATTCTACGCCGTAGCCTGGCTGAAGCATCTTGACGTTCTCCAGACCTTTGACGGTCTTCAGCATTGCGTATTGTGCATCTGCTGGTACAGTCATGCTGATGCCATTGGGATAGATGATCTTATTAGGCTCCAGACCTTCGGGCTCCAGCCAGATCATGTGCCTCTCCTTGTGCCGGAACTTGATGATTTTGGACTCGAGGGAGGGACAGTAGCGTGGCCCTCGGACAGTCTCTCGGATGTGTATTGATTTATCAAGGTTGTCTCGAATAATTTGGTGTGAGGCTTCGTTCGTGTAAGTAGTCCAGCAGTTCAGCTGCCCTTTGTCTCCGACCTCCACGGTGTCATTGAGGTATGAGAACGGCGTGGGTGGCGAATCACCTGGCTGGACTTGGAGAGCACGGAAATCAATGCTGTCTCGATCCAGCCGTGGCGGAGTTCCAGTCTTGAGCCTGCCCAACGTGAAGCCTGCACTCCGTAAGGACTTGCTCAGCCCAAAGGTAGCGGCTTCGCCCATCCTTCCAGAGGGATACGCTTCGAGTCCAATATGTATTTCGCCACCAAGAAATGTTCCTGTTGTGATGACCACATGCGATGCAGGAATAATCCGGCCATCCTCAAGGCGAATACCAGTAATTCGCCCCTGTGTGATCGTATCGTTTGAGTCGATCTGATCCCGCGATACAATAATGTCGGCCACTTTGCCTTCCACCACGCTCAAGTTTGGTGTCGATAGCATCTCTTCCCGCATATATTTCTTGTAGAGGTCTCGGTCAATCTGCGCTCTAGGCCCCCATACCGCGGGTCCTTTCTTGACGTTCAACATGCGAAACTGTATCCCCGCTCTGTCGATAATGCGCCCTGCGACCCCGTCCAGCGCGTCGATCTCCCGGACCATGGTGCCTTTGCCAATGCCGCCAAAACTGGGGTTGCAGGAACAGACGCCTAAGTTGGAGAGCGAGGGAGTGACAAGGGCGGTGCGAGCCCCAGATCGTGCTGCGGCGGCACTGGCTTCAGTGCCTGCATGTCCGCCGCCGATGACAATAACATCGTATGGTCTGTCGAGAGGTCAGTATTCGGGATGCAAGTCCGTAAGTGCTCGCAGGTACCTGATGTCGCCCGCCACAGCTGCGAAGGAACGACGCTGCCGCAAGATGCGTGACCTTGTTCGCGGAGTATGGCCCCATGTTAGAGGGCCAGACGGCCGGAGAACCAGCTTCATGGTGACTTGAGAACAGATTCACGATGCAGAGTAATGCGTCGCAGATTGAAGGGCGACAATATTTCGCAGGTACGGTTAAACTTCGGTGAGCGCCGGCTGAAGAAGCGAGAATCAGTCAGTGACAATTTGATGAGAGTCTGGCAGAACACAACAGGAGCAATCTGGCCCTAGACATCCTCGAGTATTTCATCCCGAGTCATGAAGTCTCTCTCGGCAGTGCCTGTCGACAATAGGCTGCACCTGAGAGCCCCTTCACCCGTTCGTCTCTGCTCCTCGTCCAGCTACCACAACGTTCGTCTCTGCCCCGGATCCACCAAGCGAGCATCTTACGCCTCATCTAAAAAACAAGTGAGGATGTTGGCTCAAGCTTCGAATTTTACGTCTTCTTTAGGACGGATGTTTGGCTTGCAAGTGAAGGTTTTGACATTATGCTCGGTCTGTGCCTATCCGTGCTGTCATGGAGTAGGTCAATCTTCTCCATTCATTTACGCGGACGACAGATATCTTTGACTCTGCTCCACGAAGCCGTCACGAACTCGTACATCTGCGTATGGTAGACACTCTACCATCATACAGTTCCTACAGTCCGGCTCCAACCAAACCAGGGATATCTGGCTTTTTCACCCAGCTACCACGCAGAAACGCCCCTTGCGACGTCCACTTTCCTTCATAGAAGACCGAGCCAGCCCACATGCCCTCGATAAAGCCCTCTCCAACCCACCTTCCTTTGGTAAAGAGGCCATCTCGCCATTTACCTTCGAAGAACTTTCCGTCGCCCTCGGCATGCCATGTAACCCAGACACCCTTGATGAGCCTCCCGTCCAGCCACTTGCCTTCAACGAACTCCTCGTCGTTTACCCATTGGCCTTCCACGAATTGAGACTCACATAGCGCGCCATCGACCATGCGTGTAGGGATGAAATTCCCCTGGAAGAACCTCGATGAAGCTGGAGGTTGGCCAAACCAATATCCTTTAACGAATTTCCCGTCGATAAATCCTCCCCTGATGAATAGGCAATGAATGATTCTGCCATGGATGATGCCCACCATGGCGGCTTGGTCTGAAGGGCTCAATTCCAGAAGCGGCTCGTACTCGACGGCACCAGGCCAATGACTCATCTCTGACTCATCGACTTTTGCGGTGATTAGACTCTTGTCGATCTCAAAGTTATGAACATCATTCCAGACAGAGTTGTCGAGCCAAGAGGTTGAACGGATCATTGATGTTCTTAGCAGTAAGTCAAACGACTCAACGTCCTCACCCCACGCATTCTTCCTGATAACACTCCCTTCAAATCTGGCTTCGAACCCGAGGGCGACGAGATCGACATAGGTATCGCCAGCTATAACGAGAGCCTGAGACCGACTTCCACTCCAGCGGCGCCAGATCGCTTTCCGTAGGGTAGGGTGATACTTCCCGATTCTTGAGACGGTGGTGAGGAGTGCACGAATGCGGACCATCTGACGACGTTGAGCTTGGGCTCCTGTAACACCGAAATTTGCGCCACAGTAAGTCTCTGAAAGCCAACCAAGTCGGCGCAGATCAAGTCGAGGAACGCATTTCCAGCAAACGAATCCTGCAGATATCGGGTAATGACCAGGGGCAGTCCGAAACAGGCCTTCTTGATCTTGGCCGCGTTCTTCCTTCCGATCCCCCGGAATCTGTTGTCAGACTCGCAACATCTGCCGTGGATGAAGTGGTTCTGGAAAACGCGAACGTGATAACACTCGAAAGTGTTGTCGCCATATAGCACATCTGTGCCCTCGTCCTCGACCCTCTTGCACCTTCGGAACAAGGCAGGGACGCCTTGGTAGACAGCAAGGGAGTCCGTCCCAAGCATTTCATCTGGTTGGTAGTAGCATTTCAATTCGACATTGCTGTGCTTGACCAGAAAAGCCCGATAATCCCCAGTCGAAGTTCCGCCGGAAGACCCAGAAGTTGTTTCGTGGGATCGGACGATAAGCCTGAGAATAACGCGGGCTGGGACAGTGAGCCATCCATCCAACAGACACGGGGGTATTCCAGCACTTACGTGTTCATTGATCAGGACACCCAGGGCCTGATGGCGTCCACTGCAACATTACCTGAAGAGCCTGCCATTCTGCACAATTCAGGTTGTTTGCTGAACACGAAACAGAAAAGTGTGGAAGTATCTCAGATATCAAGCTGAATCTTAGCCTTGCCGTCGCAAGCGAGTGTGGAGGTAGATGGGACGGTGCTGGATAAAGTCGAAGGTTCCGGGCGGTAGATATGGTACTGTATACATATTCCAGGGAAGCCATTGACGGAAACTCCAGCCAGTTCACTCATAACAGGCAGTGAACTTATTGGCCGACCCTCACCCATAGTGAACGAAAGCAAGGAGCCATGGTTCACAGGTCTCTCAACCTTCCCAGCGTGTCACAGTTGAGACCATTGCCGGAGAGATTCCATGCCATGTCGAGGCGTGGCAATGCTCTTCAACGCCGGTATTTTGAGTTGGTCATCGAGCCTGAGGGCCCAAAAGGAGACACCATGACCACGAATCCATAGCTATGTTGCCGGAAACAATGGTTAGTGGACGTAATTCAGAGTTTAAATGCACCTGTCGAGACTGAAAGATGCCCGTCCTTCCCTTGTAGAACTGGAGGTCATTTTGCATACAGCGGTACCGTGGGCCATGCATGGCTGATATATCACCCAGCCCATCCAACCCACCCTGGCCATTTGGTTTGTTTGTTCGTTCGCCCTCTTCGTTCCTTGTTCTCCCTCCCTCCTCCTTTTTCTGATAGGCTGGATCAATCAACAGGTAGACGAACGCCTGCCAGGAAAGATGTCATGCATAAAGACCCGCAGCCTTGCTACTCCTTGATTCAATATGTCAACGTATCGATGCATCAATGTATGACTGTACGTCACGTCTAGTAGCTACCCGCATTGGTGTCTCGAGGATGACTAGAAGGAGGCAGAATACACACTGCCGCGTCGGAAAGCCCAGACAATCCGGGAAGAGCCATGGAGGATTTTGTCAATGTCCGAGAAACCAAGTGCAGTGCATGGGGCATATTCTGTAAAGAGTCGCAACCAACTTCAAGCTGTGATAGCGGCGAACCGCCGTCCTTTCAAGCCCAACAAGCCAGAGATCGTCATTAGTGCCCCGAGAGCCCGCAAATGTTTGTAGGCGTTGTTTCATCCACATCCACCCACGTTCCTGTCTTAGGCCTGCCTGCTCACGAGTAAAGGCATATTCCCTCGGTGGCTTGCGACATGTTGCTTGTACTCAACACGTGGAGGTCCGTGGACTCTGGTAATCTTGTGGACTCACCATGAACTTGTTCACATCCCGTCTCAGACAGGATAGAGGTGATTCTTGAGTTCTCGCTGCGTACAGAAAGCACCAATTTCATGACGTTACAGGACCCAGAGCGTTCGCTCGTGTCGGTGCTGTTTTCGCCATTCAACATTGACTGAATAGGTACGACTCGGCCGCTCTTCTCCCTTCTGTGAGCGGTTGGAGATTGTTTGCGAAATGCGGGGCAAAAGCATCTGCAGTCGAGCCTCTGGAAGCAGGCAACCATGTCGCCTCACCCATTGCTTGGTATGGCCACTCTGTCACCTAGCGACTGACTCACTTGATTGGAGGCATAGTATTCACTTGAAGTCTCCTCATAAATGTGCGGCATGCGACTCAGCTCTCTGTTCGTCGCATGCCTCCAGGTTCGTTTAAAGGCATGATCAGATCTCATCCAGCATTCCAGCATGGCGGCATTAAACTTGGCACAGATCAAGCTGCTTATGCTCTTGACACTTCTCCTTACAGGCGACTCCCTCTGCGCTCGAGTAACAAACCCTAAGAAAGTTCCTAAGAACGCAGTTCTTCTCTCCAAGGTGTCTGCGCTCACAGCGCGCGCAGGCAAACAGACCACCTCGCGACGAGTCTCGCCTGTTCCTCAATTACAATGCGTCGGCCCATCAAGGATATGCAGTCTCTACGCGGTAGATGTCATGCGATGTACCAACGAAGGGTCCGACTATGAAGACGGCAATGTGCAGTGGAGCTGCAAGGCTTCCCTGCCAGAAGAGTTCAAGCTCGGAAGCACAGACGTGACCTGCGAGGGCTACGAGAGCAGCGAAGACCCGTACGTCCTCAAGGGAAGCTGCGCTGTCGAATACAGGCTGTTATTAACAGAGAAGGGAGAGCAAAAGTATGGGTCTGGGAGCTGGTTTGATCACGGTGGCTCTAATGGCAGCACAAACAAAGGAGAGAAGATTGCGGGCTATTTGTTCATGGCACTATTCGTGCTCGTGTTGTTCATTATTATCCGCGGTATCTACAACGCCTGGCGCAACGAAGCACCAAGGAGAAGACCTCGGGGAGGTGGTGGCTTCGGAGGGTTTGGTGGTGGGGACGATGACAACGACCCTCCCCCTCCATATGATCCGGGACCGCCTCCGCGGCCTAAGAAAGCGACGTGGTCGTCAGCCTCAAGCTCACGAACCGGGACATCGACCGGAGGACAACAGGATCAGGGGTGGCGGCCAGGATTTTGGACCGGCACAGCTGCTGGAGCTGCTGCAGGGTATTTTGCAGGAAGAGGTGCCCGCACACAGCCTGATCCACCACAAGTGAGACCAGCATACGGAGGCGGTTGGTTTGGAGGAGGCAACGGTGGCTATACTGCACCCACGAGGCCGTCACCACCCTCGTCAAGGACAGCGAGCTCTTCGAGCTCAAGTTACTCCAGCACGAGACACGAAAGCACTGGGTTCGGAGGGACAAGCAGGCGGTAAGGGAGACCTTGCGCCGCGGTTTCCTGCCCACAGGAAGGCTTTGTGGATGGCTATTCTGCACCAGGATCCAGCCAAACGCGCTAAAGCCTTCGCTGAGACCGACGACGCAGTACGTGTACTGCGTGCACCGTAGAATTATACAAATAGCCTCTTGTTCCACTGAAACCCTCCTGACCAATGGGAGCGTTCACAAGAAGAATCGTGACGCGTAGGACGCGCGACCACGTGAATTTGAGTATCAACCATGCGTCAGCCTTCGCCGTTCAATCTATCTCCTACTCGTACTGCGTACGGAATAATTAAGCATCAAATCAAGGTGTCAGCCGTTCCAGATAACTGTTCCCAGGCCAAAGCCAGCATCTGTGCTGTTGGCAGCTTCTTGACAGAGACAGGGTTGAGCAGCAACCCATCTCCAGGCCTTCCCATCCATGCATCATAGGCATCTGGCATCCTTGCGCATTGCTCAACCATAGCCGACGTCGGAAAGCAGCGCTTGACAGACCTTTTGGGATATAACGACGGGACCGAAAAGAGCTCTTCATTGGCTCGAAGCAATAAACGCCATATGAACTTGTTCGTGAGTCCGGCACTAGTCATGGGTTCAGCGCATCTACCTCGCCTCACCTAGCCACGAACCTCCTGATGCTCTTTCCGCCCGCCCATCTACTCTTCATGCAAAGTCCATCACCATTAATGCGACTTGTTCAACGGAGAGACATTCCCGCAGACCTACTGGATTAGACGGCGAGACTGCAGAATTGTTGCAGCATTTTTGGCTGGATAAGTGCATGAAAGGCGCGCGCAACGGATCATCTGCCGGGTTGCGTCTAACAACGTCCGTCGCAGATGCCATCATCCGTCTTATCTTAGGTCGTTTGATCATCGATTGGAGTGTGTCCTTTGCGGTCGACAGCCCTATTTCCTTGTGAAGGACGCGCAGTATATTGGATCAAAGCCGTCCAAGCGTAACACGGCTCCTTGCTTGCTTGCCTCACTTGGCCGTGTGGGATCCAAAGTGTCAATTGAGGACTGATATTCAACACAATACATGCAGGCCAGGTGATCCCCTCGCAACCCATCTCTCACCTCAACCTCAGTTTCACCTTCATCGTACAAGAGCCGCATGGCAACACGACTCGCGTTTGGGAACAGTCTGGGTCGCTAGGTACCATTTATCGCCGACGATACACATCATACATTGAAGATTGGATCAACCTCGACATATCCCACTACGGTTGCTTCTTGGAAGGCGACGAACAGACCATTACCGCGGCAATTTTGCAACACCCGGCCTGGCGACAGCAGTGCTGCCTCGCTGGTTCACACCTATAGCTCTACCCTGGGAGTAGGGTGCAGGACGACACATACTGTATTTCCAGCACGACCACCTTTCTCGACTGGGCCAAACAACCTCAACTCCACCTCAACCTCGACACCATGGCACCCGAGATCGTGGACCTGATTTCCGACGACGAGGACGACGTCGTCTCCGTTCCCGGCCCCAGCAGCAACACACATCCCAAAGCAGGAAGGCAGGCCATCACAAACAATACGATCAACCCAGCACTCATATCACGCCCCAGAGCTACGGTTCAGATCCCCCGAGCCACCCAGGCGGACACTCCAAGCTCCACACCCAGCAGCCACACGGCGCAGAACAGCCCAGTCGGTGATGCGGCCCCGAAATCTATACACTCACCATTGTTCGTCCCATCAGGCAGCCCTGATCTTGAGGCTTACGACAACGACAACGGCAGCTGCACCGATAGAGGCAAAGGCAAAGGCAAAGGCCGAGCTGCTTCCATCCCAGAGATCGATCTATCGCAAGATCCCAACGATGAGAGTACCGATATTCCACCGCCACCCGCCGTCGACAGATCATGGGACTATGCCAACGGGGAATTCACCGAGGAAGACGCCCTGAAACAAGCCATCGCACTGTCATTGCAGGAACAGAGCCCAGGTCAAGATCACGATCAAGATGACGAGCAAGGTCAAGGTCAAACTCAACTAAGTGGAGAGGGATACACCTGTCCACGAAATACAGCAGCAGCAGCAGCAGCGACAGCGAAGCCGTTGCCAGACTGGCGGTCCTCGTCCTCCTCTCCCGTGAAGTACCCTGTTGAAATGACAGCCTCAACCTCAAATGCGACCCCGAACGCGCCGGATGCGCCACTATCATCATCATCATCATCGTTAATTTCGGCTGAGACTCGGCCCTCCACAGCTGCGCCCAACTCGACCACCAAAGCAACTCCCTCGTCAGAGCTGCGAGTCTCTGCCTCGAACTTGACGGACGGGCGTGGCGCCGACGAGGCCCCACCTCCATCATCCAGCACGTTTAGCCTCGCGGGCCTGGACCGCAGGAGAATGGAAGAAGAGCGCTTGGCCCGACTGAAGCGGAAGCACGGGCACGGGGAAACCCAAGACGAGCAGCAAAGCGAGGGTCCGAGTCCAAAAATCGCGAGGACGACCCAGCAGCGGCAGAGAACTATATCGCCACCGCCGCCCATCAAGATCAAGCAGGGTCTGAAGGATCAGGACAAGAACGACAGCGTTGAGATCGCAACATCAAGCAAGCGGGGCGGTCACAATACTCTTCCTCGGGATGCGGCCTCTCTTGACGACGACGACGACGATGGCGGCCCGAATACCACCCGCAAAACGACATGCTACTACCCTGACGGCGTTGCTCTCAAGACGCATGTCCCCAGCTATCCTGCCGCGCAGACAATCTCGTTTGCGTCTCTAATCTCGCCGCCGTCGCACCTCGAATCCGCCCTCCTGTCCTCTTTCAATTGGAATTTCGACTGGCTCTTCCCGCACTTTGAAACGCGACGGACGAAATTCCAGCTCGTCATGCACGCCAAATCGCTGGCCCAGCGAGAAACCATCGTGCGGGATTGGCAGGGCGTGCCCAACGTGAGGTTGACATTCCCGCCCATGGGCGGCAATGTCAATTGCATGCATAGTAAATTGATGTTGCTGTTCTACGCGAACGAGGCGGAGGCGGAGGCGGCGGTATGGAAGGGCGGCCAGCGGTGCAGGCTCGTCGTCCCGACCGCGAATCTCGTCGACTTCGACTGGGGCGTGGACTCCATCATGGAGAATACGGTCTGGCTGATCGACTTGCCTCTCCATGGGCCGTCGACCACGGCAGGACGCACGGAACCGCCGTTTCAGAAGTCGCTGAAGCAGTTCCTGAAGGCTCAAACTGTGCCGGACGACGTGTTGCGCAAGCTCGATCAGTTTGATTTCAGCAAGACGGCAAAATACGGCTTTGTCCACTCAATCGGCGGCGTGCACACTGGTCAAGCGTGGAGGACTACGGGGATTGGAGGTCTGGGCCGCACGGTCAGCGAACTCGGGCTCGCCACCAAAGATCCCATCCAGGTGGACTACGTGACCTCGTCGGTGGGCAGCTTGAACGACGAATTCATGCAGTCCATGTACCTCGCCGCGCAAGGGGACAGCGGATTGACAGAGTATAACAGACGACTCAACAAAAAACTATCCTCTGGCAGTCCACAGGGTAGTTGGAAACCAAACTTTCGGTTCTACTTTCCTAGCGACGCTACCGTCAGGGAATCGAGAGCCGGTCCCCAGAGGGCAGGCACGATCTGCTTTTCGATGAAATGGTGGCAGAATCCGAACTTTCCAAGGGCCAATATGCTCGATTGCTTGAGTGTTCGCGACCGCCTATTGATGCACAACAAGGTATGTCACAAGAGATGGCGACCGCGGTCTGTCGCAAGTGGGACTGACTGTTTCTTTCTTCGTGGTCCAGCTATTGTTTGCCAGGTACGCCTCATCCGTCGAGAAGTCCCAGTCAGGGAACGGAGGGTGGGTATATGTCGGTAGCGCGAACCTTTCGGAGAGTGCTTGGTAGGTTTGCTCCCGAGCTCGTTGGAGCGAGCCCTCCCCTGTCTGTGATTTGCGGGTGATCAAACAATCGGTAGCCTGAGACCTACTGTGTACTGACGTGCTTCTGTGTTTCACGGTAGGGGACGACTCGTGCAGGACAAAGCCACCAAAGAACCTAGACTCAACTGTCGGAACTGGGAATGTGGAGTCGTGATTCCAGTCCCGGCAAAAAGTAGCGACGCAAGGGATAGCAGTTTCAATGACGCAGGGCTGGCGTCTTTCGCCGACTATGTCCCGGTTCCGATAAGGTATCCCAGCGAGAGGATGGAAACAAAGAAGCCCTGGACAATGTCAGAGTATTGAGAGTGCTTCCTTGGTTTCAATCGCCGTCGATGGAAAGCGTGATGGGAAGCGTGATGGGAAGCGTGACTACCCAGCACATACTGGCTCGGAAGCTCAGCCTCGATGCAAGTGTCACTGACAGGCCGTGTGACATGGTCGTCGCATGTGATTGAGGGTGGACCTCCTGAGTATACACAGTATTAATCTCGAGGTTGATGCGTGCCGTGGGCTGCTCCGTATTCTGGGGGCTTGCAGTCACCTTAGTCACCGAGATGACCCGGAAGCCTCATTGGATGTTTCGAGAGGGTGTGGGTTGGTTAGCTATCTTGTTGACTATGCCGGAAACTGGCATCAGCCCCCCAACTAGTAGTTCATGCGTTTTCCACACCCCCTCCTGACGATCCGTAGGGAGGTGACAGGCAGACAGAATACTTGGCCAGGTCCAGTGCTAGTTAGAACGCTAGGTCCGTCCGGGCATGGCTCGGTTTGGGGAGTATTGGTTCAGACGTCAGCATTTCTCGAATGGTTTCGAAGACCGGTTCTCGACCATGCCAGTCCGAGCCGACCAATGCGCCAGGCACAGAACCAGGGTTCGGTTTCGTCGCCGAGCCTCGTAGTCCTCATGGTTGTTATCGTGCTCAGAGCGATGCGATCGAAGGTGCCGAGATGCCGACACATCCGGCCTCGTGAACTCGCCACCTCTTTCCCAGCTGCAACATGCAGTTTTCCCGGTGGCTCTGAACATGCATGCACGGGGATCTCTGCCCGGAGGATGAGGTAATGACTGCCTCGAATTTCTGCAGGGAACCCGTGATTCCTGCCTCATGCTCATGGCTCCCCAACTTTGGGCACACGAAAAGTGTGAATTTCCTCACAGGGCGATAGGGTTTCCGGGCGTGCAGATTTGTGGGCACATCAATCGTGGCCCATTCCGATTGTCGTAGTGGCCTGATTCTTCCTGATTGGGCGCCTCAAGGGCGAGCTGAAGAGGGTCCGCAGGTGCAGGCGGACCAAGTTCTTGACCGGCGGCTCGTTGTTCCTTTGGGCGTAGTGGGCTTTTGTTTGAGTTCGCCCCTGCAGCTGTTGTGTAACTTCGGCGATTAACACCACCAAGTTGCTTCGTATGCTCCCCGCAGTGGCTTTGCTGTCGCGTCTGAGGTATGGGGTAGAGAGGCGACAACGAAGTGTCCTGGTCTCATCAGTGCTGCCCGGCTGCAACTACTACGACCGATGCAGCGACGAAAGGGACGATCCCTCAAGCCGAGGCAGAGATACCCTGCGTGGGATGCCTATTGGTGTAGGCGAGGGCCGGGGAGGGACGACGAAATCCTGCTGCAGAAGAGTAATGCTTCCATTTTCGCTCTCGTATCATGCGGGGGATGTTTCGCTTGCAGGAGCTCGTCTTTGGCGTGTACTCGTAGCAACGATCACTTGTACCAAAGTAGGTGCTCGCGGCCTTGTGGCATCATCCGCCCTTCAGAGGTGGCGGGGCTTCGCGTGGGAAATGGCGACTACTGCTGGGAGAAGTTAGCTCATGGCCTCAGCTTAGAAAAGAACAGGGTGATAGTTGAGCGCAGGTGGTCAACTTGCCTGCTTTGAGAAAGGAAGACACGCTGCTGTGGATGAATAGACCAGCGCGACGGGGGCTGAGATGCGTCGTGGTCGCTGATCGGTGGTTCTAGATCTCGATTCTCGGAGCTGGCGGCCAGAAGGTCCTGTGAATGTGCATCGACTATTGCCTCTAGCCAGAGGTGTGCGAAGTCGTGCTTGTAGCCGAGCAAGGAGCACTCTAGCGGATTTCTGAATCTGCCTCAGCTGAGTGGGAACAACAGCTTTGCTTCTGGGGCCTTCTCAGTTCGTGTTGGGCCAAAAGTCCACACGCGGGCCGCAAAGATGATTGTGTGAGAACTCTGTTTGTCACAGCACAAGTGGCTTGCATAATAGACCCCGCCAACCCAGCACCTCCACACCTGCAGTACTCGTCTTCCCGCGATACATGGCCAGCGACATACGAGCATGGTGCTGGGTGTGCGGTTGCGAGCATGCATGGGCAAGGATACAGGCAGGAACAATATCCACATGTCAGGCATCTTGGACAGAGTTTGCTTTTCGCTTCGGATGACTCGCACGCTTAGCTCGGAACCACATTCCTGGGATGCAGTTTCGTGCTGAGCGGGCTTTCTACGGCGGGCGAATGCGGGCGGCGAAAGGAGAGCGCAGGAATGACTGGCTGCAGGAATCGATGGACACCGTAGTGCGGGCATCATGGATGTCATCGTCTTGGCTGCATCTCGAGTGGAAGGTCCTTCAGGCGCGCGCGCTCCCTCCCACCATTCCGGATCACATCGGTCACGCCTGGGGGGAGCCACCATCCTTCATGGTTCGCAAGCGAGCATCGATCGACTGTGGATCCAACCCCCCCGACTCCTTAGATAGAATTAGGATACGATTGGCAATCGGTCTTATCGAGGCCGTCCACTCCGATAAGGCCACAAACAACCGCACGAGAGGGCGATAGTACACGGTGCGGGCATTCTCAACTTGGTAATCCGAGCTGCCATGGATGCGTCCAGCAGCGAACCGCCAGAGCGGTGAACAATGCCAGTGGCTCCAGCCCACCCCTGGTAGCAGTGTTCGACCAGCATCGTTCCCGCGTCCGGGAGCTCTGGACCAGCCTTTCGGGACCGGGACCATGGCTGATACGCCTCGAGCTGGTCCAGGACGCGGTGCCGCCTGCATGCAAGACGAATCACAGGACTCTGTGACTACATCAACTCCATCTGCGACTTTTCTCATGCCACTTTAGTCGAGCGGCCGTGAAGACTCTGGTCATTGCGGGCTCGCCATCCGCCATCCGCCATTCCGTGCTCGTCATGTACTATGCATGTATGAATGACAGCTGGAGGTTCCACTGTTCCCCAGCGCCAAATAGCTCACACAGCATTCTATTTATTTGGGCTTTGAGGGCCCTAACTCGAAGCAGCGCGAAATGAAGGTGTAAAACAATCGTATGTGGCAGTAAGAGACGGGACATATGGCGGAATGAGCTGGATATAGGACATGTTGCGCGGTGGCCGATGGACGAGGCGCGGGCGACATTCACGGGAGCGGTGTCATGTGTCGCTTAGTATGGAAACAATTTCCCCTGACCTTCTTCTCGGTCGGTGTCGTCGCATCCGACTTTGGCCATGACATGACAAGCACTGAGGTGCAATCAGGGTTCGAACACGCTCCTGAACCCCGTCTCCGGCCGCGCAAGGCATTTGTTGACAACGTGCCGCCCGAAAGGATCCACTGATCAACTAGACTGTGACGGCTGGCAATTTGTTGGCTGTATGGACTCGTAGCTGATCATCAAGATGGGAATTCGAGAAAGCCGTCTGCACGGGCGCGTGGGCTTGACGGCCTTGCCTTGTCGATACCACCGAGTAGGTGAGAGCCGAATGAGTCAGTCCCTCCACTCGATTCTCGCCTCGTCAGCTGCCTCTGAGAATCGAACCAACTCGTGCATATCTGTCCCGCGTCAGGAGTGCCGTCAGTTGCAGGTCCACAGCTCGCCAGCACAAAAGGCACCGAGGGCGACATGAAACCACCAAAGACAATGATCGTCATCATTATGCAGTGGCTATTGCCCGCCTTCAAGCTCCTCTGATTTCTGCCCGGGCGTTTCGAGTTGTGGCAGGCCTATAGTTGGGCCCTCCGCCGCCCGATGTCAGAAGTCGTCGAGCCGTCACAGAGAATTAACTCGGCGATCAGCGCAGATGCTACTCGCAATGGCGAGCACATTCGTCCTTACTTGGCTGTGGAGGGGCCCGAGGAGCAATATTCAGCAATAGCTCAAGCACCTTCCGCGGTCGACACGTACGGCGAACTTGATTCGGTTCCACCAGCAGGTGCCAGGGAAATCATTGCGCGTCGCTAATACCCAGTACTAATGCGTGGAGAACCCATCCTTTTCAAAGCCGCAACCCCCACCCTCGGACTGGTGGCGTCTGAATAGTAGCTCGTTCGCTCGCATGGGCAAGACCCCTCTGTGCCCTCCTCAGCCCATCGGATCTTGCCCGTGCCTCGCACACACAGGGCTGGGAAGAGCCCGCTTGTGTTGTCGCGTGTGTTTGCGTGTACCCAGTACCCTAGTGAGAGTGGCCTCCAGAGACCACGCTGCATGGACGATCGATGTTCTCTACGCTCCCGTGCAAAAGAGCTCCCGCTATGAGTCAGGCCACCTGAATTGACCGAGAGCGCGGGAGCCTGTACCGATAGGCAGGCACGGTTTGGGGGCAGGCGCAACCATGCATCGAACCACTCGCCACTGCATGGCGGCGGGGCAGTCGCAAAGACCCTAGAGAGCCTAGGTAACTAGCAGTAGTCAGCTACGAGGTACGAGCACACGCTAGGGCCGATCGCTTGGCCGCTGGACGATCTGCTGCCAGTGCTGAGCAGCAGCACCAGCAGCACCAGCGTCGCCCTTTCCCGCCTTCGGCCCTCCTACACCCTACTGTGTACAAATGCCCCCCAAAGGTCAGCAGGTCAACCATCTGGACGATCTTGGGTCAAGTGCTCGCGGCGTGCTCTTTTCGATCCTTTACATAAACATTTGAACTGTATCTGTTGGCTGCCGCTGTCATACCTGACTCCATCCCACAAGGTTTACAAGCCCATCTAGCCACAGCTTCTCCAGACGGGCCTTGCGAGTGTAAGAGCGCCTCCGAGGTTCCGGAAAGTCAATCTCTTCTCCCCTGTCAGTTTGTCAGGTAACTTTCAACACACGACGAACAGTCTCTCTTTGGATGAAAGTCGTCACCTGTGACAACCTGTAAGGCTATCGGCGGGGAACGGCGTACTTTGACGAGCCTGTTCGGTCGGGAGGTAGTCATTGTCGCGGGACACACGCTCAGCACACCCTTTCGAGGCGTGACCTGCTTGAATCTACCGCATTATCGACAAAGCCATTCCGAGTTCCGCCAACTGGGTGCGTTGTCCTGCAACCGATGCATCACGCAAACAGCTGCTAAGTTATC